GTCTTAGGGATAAAACCATTCTTGTGCAAAGTGCCCAAAGAAATCAAATTCTTCTTCAAATCTGGGATATGTCGAATACCACTCAACGTCCAAACAGAGCTATCATACATCTTAATTCTGAAATCACCAATACCAACAATATTGCAACATCGATCATCACCCAAATAAACAGAACTAGAATTAACCGACCTGTATGTCGAAAACCATTCCCTATTTGGCGTGATGTGATAAGAACATCCAGAATCAAGAATCCACGCATCCGTCAATTGAGTCGTTGAAATAGAAAGCATATCACCCTCACTGCAATCAGAATTGTCATCCTCGACCACGTTCACAGACTTGGATGAAACATCACGCTTCTCATCAGTCTGCTTTTTCAACTTCGGACAGTCTCGCTTCATATGTCCCGCCTCATTGCACTTGTAACAGTGAATTGTCTTCTTATCCCTAGATTTGGATTTGGAATTCCGCTTGCCAGACCCTGCCTTCTCTGGCTTCCGTCCACGGTCTCGATTACCCTTGACATATAAGCTATCGGCTTGAGAGTTTTCCCCTGCATTCTGCTTCCGCTGTTTGTGAGCCAACAAGGCTACAGTAATCTCCTCAACGTTGATAGTCTCTTTCCCATATGTAAGAGTAGTCACCATGTGTTCGTAAGAGGGAGGCAACGAACACAACAAAATCATCGCTCTGTCTTCATCCTCAATTTTTACATCAAGCCGAGCCAAATCAGAAACGATTTGATTGAAGACATTCACGTGTTGCGCCAAATCATGATCGTCCTGCATTTTCAGCTCATACAGTCGCTGCTTTAGATACAGTTTTGTCGTTAAGGATTTGGACATAAACTGACTTTCCAACTTCTTCCAAATTTCGTCTGGAGACGATAGATGCATGACGTGATACATAACCTCGTCCGCCAAGCATAATCGTATGGTTCCTGCCGCTCGTTGTTGCAATTCTTCCCAATCTTCCTCCTCCATCGACGTCGGCTTTGTAGGTCGCAAAGCCTTCAGGATACCCTGCTGCGCCAACAGATCCTTCACCCTCGTTTGCCATAATCCAAAGTTACCCAGACCATCGAATTTTGCTTCTGACATCTGATATCAATTGTTGATAAATCGGGCAAAGTAAACGAAAGAACACAAGAATTTTAACGAGGTTCGGCAATGTGCTTACGTTCTCTGTGCCTAGGCGGCGCTAGAAAATTTTTATTCAATGATAATATGTTTAGGTTACATCTCTATTTATAATAGAAAACCCTGGTACATAATTACAAAATTAACCCTGTACCGTACCGCAGGGGCGCAGCCCCCAACCCACATAATCGTAACCCCTCTACAAGACTTTCTTTGTAATGACAGTTGATGTTCGCTTCGCTCACTCTACTCCATCCCCTGTCCTCTTTACCAGTATATTTATGAGCCATACCTTACACTTTTCCTTCGGTGATAAGGAGCACCATTTAGACTTTGAATTGTAGTGTGGAACAAAGATTGATCCCTTTAAAAAACAGGGTTTGATTTCGATTAGTATAAGGAGATAAATTGTAATGAAATTATGGGAGTAAAAAAGGGTCGTTTGGTTTGACGTACTTGGTTTATTTGGGCGGCGGAAAAGGAGACATTAAGGTCACGAAGAAGCTCGAACTCATGAGGGCAAGCCTCGAAGAATTTTCCGTTTTGGTTGGAGTAGATCGGCGTTTGGGTCAATAAGTTGAAGGCGAATCTATCTTCTTTTTCCCTTGGCGTGGTGGCTCCTTGGCTCAATGACCTTATCTGTTCTTGGCTGGCTCTAAAAAACATTCCCTGCGGCCTTTGCTTACCATGGAACAGCTTTCCTATCTGCTCACTTCATGTCTATTACAAAGAAACATGAATTAATCAATAACCAACAAATAATCAGGCAAAAGAACAGATAATATTAGTAGTTAAAGAAACATACATTGAGGACAGCCTCGAGAATTTCACGGCTGAAGAGCCGGTAATATGACTGAGGATGTTCTTGTCCGGCAGGGAAGAATTCCTCGAATTTTCCGGGGTTATTAAGATGGTGGTGGAGCACTGCTATGGCTAGCTTCTCATTGTTGTCTCGGTTCACCAAGTACACCGTGCTTCCTGCTGGAACTCTCAATACAACTCTCAATAACCATTTTTTGTTCATGGTTAAAATAAAAAAGGATGAAAATTTACCGATGTTACTATTTACCATTTGTTACTATGTAAAGTTTCTCGGCGCAGACTCACAGTGGTCAGGGAGAACGGAAGTGTTGGGATTAGCTTCTAATATCGCGACGTGAAACTCGTCGATTCCTTTTAAGCAAACGACATTGGTGAGAGAACCTCTTGAGGACCCTGAAATTGCCGTGTTCTTCCCCGAACCGAGCTTGGAACGATCTCCTGTGAGGGAAATAGTACGGGTTGCGGCTTTGTTGTTGCTCTTCTTCTTCTTCTTCTTCTTCTTCTTCTTCTTCTCTCTTACAGCTCGGTTTCTCGTACTGCTGCTGCTGCTCTTCTTGCTCGTATTGTTTCAGGCAACTTTGTTGGCATTGTAGCTGCTGACTTTGTTCTTGTTCTCGGCACCGTCTCTGACATTCGGCGTACTTCTTTTGAGGATATCCGGGGCTCAGATCACGGCGGTGGTACTCTTTTTCTTCCCGTTCCTTCCATAACTGCTTTCTGCATTCTTATAGGCACCAAGCTTGCCCCCTTTGTTCAGGAATCTCCGATATGCATCGCTTCTTGCACTCGTCGAATCGCGCTTCAGGATCCTCCTCGCCTCTTTTGCAAAGAATGTCAGCGGCAGAGCAAAGCAAGCCAAAAGAAAGGAGAAGATCCAAGAACAGAACGATGAACAGAAACTTATTCTTCACCATGATTACACTATTAAGCTGTGTTTGATTTTCAATTTGCGGTGGTAATTGCAGAGACTAGTACTGTATTTAAAGGCGGAAGGTAACCTTTTTTGCATGTAAATTTTTATCTACGTGTTGAAGACATTAACACGCAAGGTGCCGAGTGTATGTACGTAGGATTAGGACAAGCTTCTTTGTTTGCAGATGTCTTTTTATTTGAACTCAGTTGAGTTCAAACTTTAATAGCGTCTTGATACTGGGAAGTGGGTGCTTTGTAAATTGTAAGGTGAAATGAAAATAAGTTCGATGAGTTTATGCTCAGATTCTCGAGTTAATGTTGAGTTGATATTGATCTGTATTCTGGCAGTATGGGTCAGCTCTGGTGTACGCATGCTGCTCTGCATGATGATGAGTTGCAGGGGATATAGTTGACACTATATATATAACGCAATGAGATTTTATCAAAAATTCTTTAAAATATAGTTAGTTTTTAATAATATGTAGTAGTATGCTTCATTAATAACATAAAATCTATAAATATTTGTTGAGTCGAATAATAAAGATAATATTCCTTAAGAATAAAGTTTTATGGTCGAGTCTTCAGCAATAGAAAATAGTATCATAAAAGGTTTGCCTTCAACTCAAGAAAATCAACCTGAGTCGACTTAAAATATGATCAAAACATATACTTACCCAAGAATTTTAGTAGATTGATGTATTTTTATTGTATGATCTCGTCTCTCGTACATATACTTACTTCACTTTACGATCTCGTTTTTCATAACAACTTTCCTTTTATTAATTAATAATTATAATATAATATCTATTCGAAATTTCTCAATTATTTAACAATAAATATTTTAAAAAAAATTGTAAGGATCACACTCAAACCCGAGCCCTATAGAGATAATACTCATTTATTTAATCACGAAGGTCGTTTGATTCTGTCTCCTACACCTTATGATAAAAGATGATTGGAATATTTGCCCACTTTTTCTTTTTGGTAGCAGCCCCACTCTTGCTTTTTACTTTCTCTACATTCCAGACAAGTAAGAACAAACTAATAATAAGGTGCAATCAACAGAAGACAAAGCTCAGCATGAAAGTGAAATCTCTTACTCATGGCTTCCATATAAGTCTGCCAAGCCTGCAATAAAGTAAAATAAACAAAAATGGCAGTGCAGATGTTCCATTATGAATGAAACCAACTTTTCTCAGTAATATCATTAGCAAAAAGCATTGGGATAAAACAAGCATTCTGATTTCTATTTCCACTTTTCCTTTTGGTTCTTTACATTTCTTCTATCACTTTGGTAATGAAGTACTCATATTGACCATCCTTTCATCTTCTTCAGCTCATCAAAAAGAATTTCCCTAAAACTAACAAATTGTGAACAAAACAATCTCCGAGTACCCTCGGTTCATCGGCAGTTCATGTTAATGCAGCTTCTTTCCTGCAAAACCAAAAAACAAAGTTACATAATGATCACATAAGTAAGCTAGTTTTAACCTTTTTGAGTAATTTAGAACTAATCATAAGTACCTATCAGTTGTGAAGAATTATCGATATGGTACAGAGCTTGCTTCGAGATGCATTTGAAGTGAAATTTTGTTAATCGGTTGTCTTTAACTATCATTGGTTTGTTGGAAGCTGACATCTTATATTATCAATGATTCGAGTTAGCTAACCTATCGGTTACAGAGTTTACACCTGATCAACCAACATAAAAACAAGATTAGTCAAAGAAACCAATAAATGGTGCATCGAAAAGGGAACGAAGAAAGAACCAACCTTTTTTAGTTAGTGAGCAATGGAATGTCTCTGTCACCCTTATGAATGAACATCATCAGAGTGATTCTTAGCTGCACATGGGAAAAGAATGGCTCTTCTCAGGAAAAAATAGATGGAGAAAAAAGAACAAAAATATTGAGCACTTCCGATGCTATATGACGAAGTAAATTTTCTTTTTCAGAGCTGGTTTTTCAAATAGATTCTCATAATCTCATCGCTAAATGACTGTGATTCGGTTTCTTGGTCAATTCAATGGTGTCTTTTCCATGTTTAAAAGCTATGGGAGTAAAGGATTAAGGTCTAAGGACCACAATCACAAAGGTGTATTGAGTGCAGGAAATTTGTTTTACCTCTTTTAGAAAAAATTTAGATCGGTGTATCCATGCGCATATGGCAAAAGCTCCTCTACCTCAATCCTTGAAGTGGAGTAACTCGTGCTCTTCTTCAACCGGCCACGACTTGACTCAACTTCAGCCCAAAATATACCATAAACTGGTCTATGATCCGAGAACTTAGATTCCCCTCGGACATAAGATAATTGGTGGATACCTTCTCCATGCCATAATATCCTGTCGCACCTTTGTACAAAAAAGTTTAATTCAGTACACTTCTTTTATTAATCCAATTTTCTTTATAGTTCCGCATCAGAGCTATGATTTTAACTACTTTATCGTGTCGTGTGGCAGGAAGCATTTTCTTACCAAGCAGGAGTTCGGCATTTCTCCTTTGGATACATATCATCCCCTGTGTATCTGTCCGAATTTCTTGAATACTTGTACGTTGGTGGGAAGTAAATCTTTCCTTCGTTCCATCCCTTGAAAACGCGACCTCTTTTCTGCTCTATCCGTAGCTGCCGAAAATTCACCAATGAAAGGTTTTAAACAATTGTATGTTATTCCAAACGAATATACAGTTTGTATAAGTAAAAGCATACCTGGTCATTTTCTAACAATGCCCTCCAGTTCTGCATCTCAACAAGTGCCTTGGCAGACCGGTAAGAGAGAGCAATACGATAATTCAAATCCCCGAGCCAAATTATTCGACTGGATTAATAAATAAATAAATAGTCAGTAAATGCAAACAAGCTTATTTCTAAGTTTTGTTTCAGACAGTTAATGTGCAGACTAAAGTCCTTACTCATGCTCGAGGATTGTTTCAGGGGACTTTTCATTTTCTTCATCACGAACCCGTGGAAATCTTGTCTTCTTAAGAATCTCCAAGACATCAGCATTCCTTCTTAGCTCGTCGCCCTCCTTTTGTCCAGAAGTTAAATGAGTGCATATGAAGCAAAAGCTTGTTTGATGCAGCAACATACTGACAGATATAGAACCCTGGCAAAACCGAACCGTATTGTTTAATCACGAGTGCCTCTGATTCTTGAGTATACCACAAGTAAATTACACGAAAATAAACTCTTTTAAGAGTGCCGTTTTACGGTTGAGTGATACCTTATTTCCGAGATAACCCATCAATCCTCTGCCAACACAAGATACTTTCATGTTTTTAACATGGTCTCTCAACTCGCTTCTCACCCAGATTGTGATAAATATGCCAACCATTTGCTTACTAGCCACTAGGCAGTATCTTGAATGCCCAGGCATCCTATATCCCTGTTCGGATGCAGATCCACCATAGGACATTGGCGAGTACAATACGGTACTTGGTGATTCCGTGATCCCATTATCATCATCTGATGAACCCATTCTGGAGTAATCACTAGGTCGGGAGTAGTCGCTAGGCCGGGAGAAATCACTAGACCTATTACCCCATCTATAACTGGAGTCGTTGTCACTTGGCCTGTTACCCCATCTATAACTGGAGTCGTAGTCACTCGGTCTATGACCAAATATTACCCTATCACAAACACTGAATCGCCTATCAAGTCGTGGTTGTGGAATCGAGGGATCGTTGTCCATTCTCCAGCTGCTGGTTGTCTGAAACGATCGGCGGTGACAGAAAGATGAATTCTTCTGCCTAGATGATCCCTCAAAATCAGCATCCACCTCGACAATGGGCTGAGGAACAGGAGATGGTGTATAACAACCCCCGCATCCGCTGGTTCCGGGGAGATTGTTTAGAGTCTTTCGAACGAGAGACAACCATTTTTTGGCTGGACCATTGTCTTCTGCACCCAGAATATTCCCAGCATTCAAAGGAACTATCTCTTGAAACCTGTAAGAAAACAAATAGGAAGGAAATCATTCTGTGAACAACCGAAGTTTGGTAAGAAAGCCATGAAGGTCAAAACTGCCATAACATACCCAAGGACATATATATCTGCCGGAGACGAGGCATGCAGCAAATCTTCTAGATTCAAATTACTCGGTGGGGATCTTCCAGCCACATTCCATGTAGATACAAAGATGCTGCTCCAATGGAAAACAGTAGAACAGTTGGAACTAATGCATCACAAAGGAATAGAAGCGATAAAAGGAATATACTATACACAACTTAAAAGAAAACATACATACCTATAATTTTCGACATCTATGATTCGAGGGTGATCGAGATTCATTCTACCTCGCCGGCTTTGCTCCGTACTCCTACTAAATTTTTCTGCAGATCATAGTAACATTCAGAACTTAGAATCAGCCAAACTAATCCACACAAAAAAACTTGAGAAATGAGATTAGGAACCTGTTTTACTCTTTTTGATTGTGCATGGATCCCTTTCCGAGAAGCTGGTCCTATATTCAACTTCACCTCCTGAAGATTGGAAATCAAAAAGAACAAAGATGAAATTGCTAAAGGAATATTTTAAGGATGCTTTGTGTGTTTGATGAGAGAGTTGCATGAAAAGAGAAAGTATTAGAATCTTGAGTACTTATAGATAGAACCAGGAAAAGATAAAGCCTTGAAATAACCAAGTAATGCAATCTCTTTCCTTCATTTTCTTCTTCTTTTGTTGGCATGAAAGCTTGAGATTCTAATTATTTTATGAATGCTGGGCAATCATTGTGAAATTCCCAGAAAATAAAGCTCAGAGTACTCACCTCCTCCTCCACAAACATGATCATCAGCTTGAAAGTCCTCAGTTTTGCTCTTGATATTGAACCATTTTCTGACCATTTTCTTGGACCAGGAGAGCTATACCAAAAAGAACAATGAACACACATTAAAGGAAAAACAAAGAAAAGTTCCTCCCCCCCCCCACAAATTTGAGTAATGTAAACCAGAAACAGAGGAAGAGGAAGAACAAAAGCAGAAGGCCAAACGCAAACCTTGCTTTTCTTAGGTTTCCCTTCTCCCATTGTTAAAACTTTTGCTTCATACAACTCCTAAATTTACTCTTTTTACTATTCCTCAAAGCTCTAAACTTTGATACAAATCAACAAGAAAAAAAACTGATGCTAAAACCCCGTAAGCAGCACAATCCACTAATCCTTCACCCCAAAAACAAGCTGAATTCGTCACTTGCTCAAGAACAAGGTTAAAGTTGAAGCAAAAACAAGCAATGGGTTTGTCTTAGTTTCCTCTTCCATGCATGTGAAAGCAAAGAGAGAAGCTAAAGAAAACCCAGAAAAGTACAAAGGGTTAAAGGACCATAGAAGAAATAGAGAGATAGAACAAGGAGGAAGATTCTTGATGTAGAGCAACACACAATGCGGCAAACATAAAAGAAGAAGGTCTAGAGAGAGAAAGCTCATGAGAACAAACTAAAGTAAGCAGCTTCACATTGTTAAACAAAAGAGAGAGCCTCGTTATCGGTAAAAAAAAAAGAAAGCAAGGTAACAAAATTTGGAATAGAATAAAGTGTATTTCTTAATTATTAACTCATTGGTCTTTGGTTTCCTCAAATCTCAAGGCTAGTTCGACATGAAAGTGGCTTAAAGAAGCAATGTCGTTTTTAGCATGTGTTGTAGGTTAAAACGACAAGGTCTGGTCAGCAAAAGTGTTGAAGGAGGGTTTTAAGCTATGCCCCACTCCATTGACAAGAAACTGTCTTTGAATCCCCTTTTCTCTGCTGAAAATCTCTTAGCCATTTTTGTTGGTCTTCCATCGAACTAAAGAAAGCAATTAAAGAAGGGTCATCTCGCTTTGTAACACTAATATTACTCTGAAATGATAATTTGGATTGTAGATTATATTTAATATTTACGGTAGATGAAATACGAGTATAATTGAGATAATTTTTAATATTTATCATTCAAATCTCATTACTTGAACTTAAACACACTGGTTAATAATACCTACTTGACTGTCTAACAAGTCAGAACATGATATTTAAAAATTACAAAAAATTAATAATTATTATGATAAAAGCTGTTAAATAATAAAATTTATATAAATATAAAAAAATCAAAATGCACTTAAAAAGGCAACTACCCCAGATTTTAGGGGTGTCACTGTTCTTTATCCATCACTGACCTACTGGATTCAGACTACATTTTCAGGCACTAGGACCATGCTTTTTTATTATTTAATATGGGATTTATTTTTCAATAATTTTCCCTATTAAATTTTGGCCACTTGTGAAAGCCATGGAGGAGGAGCCTCTAGAGGAAAAGCATGCTTAATCTACTTTTTTTTAACGGTAGAGTGGAGGAGATTTCTAAAGTCTCCGGCGTCCATGGCGGCTCCTCGGGCCATCAACAATCTTTGACTGCATAATTCCAAACATTGTTAATCAAAGCAGTCAAACACATGGTTCTTTTAAGACCTAAAGCTCCTCAATTTTTGAAATATATAAATATATATCATATATTGTCTTCTCGAAATTTAATTTCTCAATCAAAAGAAATGAAATAAAAACGTCTTTAAGTGTGTATATTTTTTTTTTGGATAAATTTGAATTTATTATTCAAGAACCAAAGTCAGGTACAAGCACTTCCAGTAACCGATACAATCAAAACTAATTATAGGCTACATACAAAAGAATCAATCGGTTAACCTATACCCCAAGCATTACAAAGTTGAGTATTAACATAATCTAAACGGTTAATTTCTTTCTTCTGAGTTTGATCCCTACTATCTCTTTGATAGCTTTAAAGATATCTTCAAGTGGTCTGGAGCATCCTTGAAAAAGACGTTTGTTTCTTTCCTCCTAAACGGTATAGACAAAAGCGCACCACGAGATCTTAAGGATAGTGGTAAGTAGGAAATTTCCTCTCCATATTTCACAAGCTTGTACAATCATATCCTCCCAAGAACGAGTAGAATTTCTCAACCTAATATGCAAAAGCACTTGATTCCATACATGAGAAGCAAAACAGAAGTCAAAAAACAAATGATCTATAGTTTCAATTGCTTCGTTACAAAGGCAGCAGTTTGTATCATTAACAATTATCATTCGTTGTAAATGAGCTCTAGTAGGGAGTCTATCTAACAAAGCCATCCATGTAATAATGCTATGTTTAGGAATATGTAAAAGATGCCATACCAATTTATGCCAAGATGCCCTTTCTCCTTTCTCCCTTATTTCCTCCCAAATAGATCGAATACTCAATGCTCCAGCAGAAAAAACAGCAGCAGCTTCTATTATGGATTTTAGGATGCGGTTTAAGCACCAGCTGTAGGAAGGATTAAAATCAAATTGCCAGAAATCTTGATCCTTTATAACATTTGCTTTGATCCAGGCCACCCACATTGAACCTTCTCCAGCAAGAATTTTTCGAATAAGGTTGATCATGCACGACATGTTCCAGATTTTTAAACCTTTCAAACCGAGTCCTCCTTCTCACTTCATTTGGCATATTTTAGATCATTTTACTCTTGCACCAACATCTAAATTATCATAACCTTTCCAAAAAAACCTGGAGCAGAGTTGTTCAATCTTGATAATGATAGCTTGAGGTAAAACAACCTGACGACACCAATAGTTTGCAACATTGTGGAGAATTGTCTTGATGAGTTCCAGGTGACCAGCATAGCTCAGATGCTTACCAGACCAGGAAAAAATTATTGATTTAATTTTCTGAATCAGATATTCACAGTCCTTTTCATTCAGTTTTCTTGAAACTAAAGTAATACCAAGTATTTTACTGGCAAGGAACCATGAGTGAAGCCAGTTGAGGACTTGATAGATTCAATAATATTCCTTGAGATTCCTGCAGTAAAGAAATCACATTTTGATACATTTAGTTTAAGACCATAAATATCATAGAAAAAATCCAGAACAGAGCAGACTCCCAAAACAGATTCTAAATTCCCTTTGCAGAATATTAATAAGTCATTTGCAAAAGATAAATGTGTGAGCTCAACTTTTCTGTATTTGGGATGATAACCATACAACCCTCTGGCAGCAGCCAAATTAAGTAATTTGGACAGGACATTCATAGAAAGGATAAAAAGGATAGGAGATAGAGGGTCTCCTTGTCTAATACCCCTAGTTCCCTTAAAAAACCAATAAGACTGCCATTAAAAGAAATGGAGAATCTGACCTCCTAGAAACATGATTCAATCCAGCCAATAAACTGTAAGGGTATGTCAATGGCTTTTAGGACAACAGAAATAAATTCCCATTGGAGAGAGTCAAAAGCCTTTTGGATATCAATCTTCATGGTGCACCTTGGAGAAATAGTTTTTCTTCCATAACCCTTTACAATCTCTTGAGCAAGAATAGTGTTGTCAACAATGTTCCTATCTTTTATAAAGGCAGTTTGATTGAGGGTAACAATTCCAGGAATAAAGCCATTTAGTCTTTTAACTAAAATTTTTGTGATGACTTTATAAATCACAGAACAACAAGAGATTGGTCTGAAGTCTTTGATCTTGCTAGGATTAGGGACTTTAGGGACCAAGACAATTGCGGTTGCGTTGAAAGCATGCAAGAGAGAGGATTGCTGGAAGAAAATTTTAATTGTTGTGATGATCCTCTCCAACAATAGACCAAGGAAATTAAAGAAGTAAGGAGTGTAGCCATCGGGACCCGGAGCTTTGTCATTAGCTTGACAGAAGACAACTTCTTTGATTTCATCAGCCGAGATTTCTTTAACCGGACTTAAGGAAGAATCCAGTGGCAATGCAGTCTGCAGGATGTTTTTCAAAAAGCCAGCATCACTACCCTTAACATTCGAATCAGCAGTACCAATCAGATTGGTGAAAATCTGAATAATTTCATACGACATAGCATCGTAAGAGGCAATTCTATTTCCTTGCTCGTCAATAAGAACCCAGATGGTGTCCTTTTTTATTTTAGAAGCGACTGCAGAATGGAAGAACTTAGTACATTTATCACTACCCTTGACATTTACTTTAAAAATACAATTCCTTTCTACTTTAAAAATATAGAATTAAGATTTGATATGCAATCGACTATGTCTATTAAATTCCATTTCCAAATGTTTTATCGTTGATGTATATTGTCCTATTATCATGTGGGTCTTTGGAAATCATCTGGGGCAATTAGAAGAAGTAAAAGATTGAATACACTACAATACAAAGAAAAATGGAAAGTGATGAATTGTATCAAAGGCCAAATACAAAAATGGGCAATATTTGTAGTATTTGGATATCTAAAGAGCAAAGCAAGTGACCCTACTTTAGGGTATCTTCTATTCTTTCATTGACAACTTGACCTTAATTTTTTTGTTTCTTTTAATTTTTGAGCGATGGATGGTATCTAAGTGACAAGGTTCTTTTGGATTCAAGAAAACCATGATGAAAGAAGAAATTGATGCAACATTTTTCTCTCTGTCTCATTTTATAAAAGTCTCCCTTATATATGCATATATAATTTTATAATATATTTGTAAACTTTTTATAATTCTTTTGTACTATTAATTTTTGTATTTGTGTTTTTTTATATTAATTTTTTTAATAAATTTATGTGTTTATTTTTTTCTTTTTTTGATTTGTGTTTCATTGCTTTTTATCTTTTATAAATTATTATTCATAATAAGTATCTATATTTTTATAAGAAAAAAATGAGATACAATCATTTAAAGATTAAATACAAGATCAATATCAATTAAAGAATTGATAATAAGCTATTATATTATAGGGATGGGCATGAGACCCGAATCCGACGGAACCCGACGCGATCAAGTCAGATTTTTTTTAATCAGGTTCGGTCGGGTCGGATTCAGGTTTAGGGTAAAAAATACTCTACCTGATCCGTAAAAATATAATTTTCCTTATATATTTAGAAATAATTACAATAATACCCCTCTATATATTATTTTTTTCAATTAAATCACTGTTTTTATTGAATAAAAATAATATTTTTATTATTATTTCGGGTCGGGTTCGAATTTCATTTCAAAAAGTCGGGTCGGATTCGGGTCGGGTGGATGATATATATTATACGGGTAGGGTCGGATTTCGGGTGGAGGAGTCATTGTTCTCGAGTGGACAAAAAATCCGGCCTAACCCGACCCATGACCATCCCTAATTATATATCAAAAATGCAAACCACCATGGTTAAACCAGCGGCGACAAAGCCCTAATAATACATATAGAAAACTCATTATTCTAAAAAAAGAAAGGTATTATTTTTTCTAATAATATAATCATTTTCTTTCTTCCATACGTTAAAACCTAAAAATGTTAGTATTTGGAGAGGGATAATATTATGAGGGATAATTATAAATAATTACGAGTAAATGATGATAAATAAAAAGATAAAAATATAGTGATTTACATAAAAATTTTAAACGGAAAAAATCATAAATAAAGAAGTATATTTACATTATAATCGATAGTAAATTATACGAGGACTGTAGTCTTATGTGAGATTGAGCGTACACCAAACCTTAAAAGTACAGTTTGAGAGCTTCCATCTCCACTATATATCTTTACTTTCTTTACTAATGTATTTTTTCGCTAAACCGTCGTATCTTTCTGATCGGATCAAATAAAATTTGAATTATAAACTCTATCCGTTACGGATTTTAGACATAAATTATAAAATTAATATAAAACTAGAAGGAAAGAAAGTAAAATACGAAGGGTTAAAATAACAATAAAAAATTGGGAAGAAGATTTGGTATGCTTTTACTTTCTTCTTGCATGTGTTTGATCAATCTTAAGTTAAAGGCTTGAAAACATAAAAGAGTTACGAGGCAGTCAAAAGAAGATTTAAATATTTGACTTTTATTTATTTTTAATGGGTGCTTTTGTTATTTCCCCCCTCTCCTTTTCTCTCTTACTCTGCCATAATGTAATGTTTGTTATCTATTTTTGGCTTTAAGGTATGGGGTTTTGGCTCACCCTTTGTCTTTCACAATGTGTCACTTTCTTTGACACATGTCATTGCTATGCTACATACTTATGATAATAAAATATTTTTTCATAATATTTTTTAATCAATTGATAATGTATATACTCTATTTAGATGTAATTGCTCGAATCTAAAACTTTTAGGGAGAACAATATTCGTTTTTATAACTAAAGCCATTTGATAGGTTCGGCATTGTAAATAATTATTATGAAGACAATCCTCTCAATCCGGTTTATTTCATTCATAGAATCATGATCGAAATATAAACATTATTTAAAGAATATAGTGTCGCAACACATTTAAACCAACTAATAATTGATAATAATAGAAAAACAAACTTTAAACAACTCTTCATTGTATGTTTTATATAAAGTAAATTGCACATAATATTATCAAATTATGATATTTATTTTCATGGATGAAGTTAGGATACCAGTTCAATGGGGCAAAATATAATTAACCATAAAAAATGAGGGGAGTAAAATATAATTAGTCATAGAAAACGAGTAGTTAAAATAAAAACAAACTAAAATCTAAAGATCTAATTTAATATTTTCCCATTTATTTATTTTTAATTATTAAATTGATTCAAGAACTTTAAAACATTCTATGTTCATCAACAAACTATGATACTATTCTAAATTGGTCTATTAAATTTAAAACATTTTATATTATTTCTCAAACTATTTGTATCATTTCATTATGATCATTCTCTTAACATGTCGTTAGTTTTACTAATTTTTGAAGGTATTAAAAATTGAACCCGTGACCTAAAATATTAATATTTTTTTAAAGGTATTGAGAAAAATTTTATGAATTTCATGTTCAATTTTGAAGACCTTTAAAAGTATATTAATTTTCTAATGAGTAGAGTTAATGATGCATTAATAAAAGGTTTAAAATAGAATGATATTGATAGCTTAACAATTAATATAGAATAATTTAAATTTTAAGAGTTAATTTAAAATAAAATCATAATTTAATAATTATTATAAAAAATTAAATGGAAAACAGCTATACAATTATTTAATGTATATATATATAGGTCTAAATAATATAAGCCCACATGCATTGAGATTTATATACATTCATTTAGACTTATTCTTAACATATCTATAAGTGATGTGGGATTTTAATACGTTTGGGCTTGATCCATCCCCTAGTTTCCTTGTGGTAAACTTTATATCAAAGCCGAACTGGCAGCCTGGCCACTGGCTCTGGAGTCGGCGAAAGCGCGAACTCAGGAGAAAACAATGTCTCGTAGCAAAGAAACCCGCGATTCTTCTCTTCTACCGCATGTTTCCTTGGTCTTCGTCGCTGTCTTCTGATATCTGTTTTCTTTGCCTTCTTATCTTCCTTTGTAATCACAAACAATAATTTTTAATATTAAAAATATTTAAACCGAAGGAATTGAAAAAGAAAGGATCATGGCGTCAATACTTCTTCGCCGACGAAGAATTTCAGCTTCGGGTGTTTCCCGGATTCTTCAAGGTTTGACTTTCGAGCCCTTGCAGTGCTATTTCTTTTGAAAGAAAAAGGAGAACGATTTCCACCGTGTATAGATTTGAGGATTCCTCATTGAGCTTATGTGAAATGTAATCAGATAGATATAATTTTTTTATTGCCCCATTTCTTAATTTTATGCTTAGTATATTTATAAATTGAGTATTTGTATCCAATTGAAGAAAGCTGACTGCTGGTGTTTTATGGATATTGGTGTATGTTATATGTTAGTCATTGCTTTTGCAATTTTTTTTTCTGGTTCAGTTTTGATTTATATTTCTTGTTCTCAATGATTCAGCTGTTAATGGGGATTCCTTTCGACTAGATACGGAATCGAAGTGCGAGACAATTGCTAGCTTAGGTGTAAGGATAAGCAATTACAGCAGTGGAAAGGGCACTGCAAAGTTCGATTTTACTGATCTCACGTAAGAAATATGTGACAGCTATTAATAGTTTTCTCTGGGGGCTTGGATAGGCGATCCTTTTATCCATTTCTAATTTTGTTGGTAAAAAGTACACTATTTGAGGCTTGTTCCAATTGCATCATTTAATTAGGAACATAGCATTCTCTTTTGTTTCCGCTCGAATGGTAGCATTTAGTTAGCACCATTTTTTTTACATGAATTTTTCATTGGCAAAATGTTTCCTCCTTTCTTATAGATATATGATTTAGTTGTGTTCTGTTTAGTAGTTTTTTTAATGCAGATATCATTGGTGCTTCCAGAGATGCTATGGTTTTTAGCATGTTATAGGGATACGAAGTCTTGAAAGATTTTATTTTCGTTTCAATTGCTGATAACTGCCTTATGTAACTAAATCATTTTTCGTTTTGGATTTTGTGAAACTTATTTGCTATGATCCTTCTTATTGGTTTATATTCTGGTTAGTGGTTTATGAATGTAGATTTCTTCAGTGTTGCCAGAGATTTTTGGTTTTAAACTTGTTATAGGAATAAAAAATCTTGAAAGACAATAGATTTTATAAAACCTGAATGTCTAGGTTTTTAAATTTGATTTGTAATTAGTTAGCTGTATTTTGGTTTCAAATATTAATCATAGTTGGCTGTATTTTGGTTTCAAATATTAATCATGTGGCATATGTAAATAAAGCATATTTGTTTATCTTCGTTGAAGCTTATTGGCATATGTAACTGTAAGATGATAGGTTTTGTTCTCAATTTCTATTAATCTAGAAATTATAAAAAAGGGGCTTTTGATTCTTTGGCATTTTCTTCCTCTCGTCCCCCCAATTCCCATTCACTGAATTTCCATATATAATTTCTGTATATCATTTGTAAACTTATTTTTTTGTTTATCTTTATAAAACCTGAATGTCTAGGTTTTTAAATTTGATTTGTAATTAGTTAGCTGTATTTTGGTTTCAAATATTAATCATGTGGCATATGTAAATAAAGCATATTTGTTTATCTTCTTTGAAACTTATTGGCATATGTAACTGTAAGATGATAGGTTTTGTTCTCAATTTCTATTAATCTAGAAATTATAAAAAAGGGGCTTTTGATTCTTTGGCATTTTCTTCCTCTCGTCCCCCCAATTCCCATTCACTGAATTTCCATATATAATTTCTGTATATCATTTGTAAACTTATTTTTTTGTTTATCTCAGCCGTCCTCATACATGGTATCCTAATGCTCGAAAAAAGAATCGCAAGGTTTTCTTGCATGTAGGTCCAACAAATAGTGGTAAAACATACCACGCTCTAAAGCGACTCGAGTCAAGTCCTTCTGGTATATTTGCGATGCTATTTTTACCTGGATTGAATTGCATTTTTGGTCTTCAGTGAACTTTGAAGAGATTAAAACTAGTAAAAATAAACCGATGAACTATTTTCCATTGGTTATTTCCCTCATCAGGTATATATTGTGGTCCTTTACGATTGTTGGCATGGGAAGTGGCGAAACGGTTGAACAAAGCAAAAGTTCCCTGTGATCTAATTACAGGACAAGAGAAGGAGGAAGTGGATGGTGCAAAGCATAAGGCTGTAACCGTTGAGATGGCCGATGTAACATCTGATTACCAATGTGCCGTTATTGATGAAATGCAGGCAAGATTATAGTTTAATCGAAGATTCAAAAATAATGTTTTACGAAGCTCACTTAATTATTTTGTCTGTGTGACGGAGTTATTAAACATAAATTGAATGGAGCAACTTCTATGATTTTTGTGCAACTTCTCTGAATAGCAAGTCACTTAGTTTCTAGTTAAATTACTCTTTTTTTCAGATGTTGGGCTGTCAGACTAGGGGTTTTTCATTTACACGTGCTCTGTTTGGAATTGCTGCTGACGAACTTCATCTTTGTGGAGATCCGGCTGCCGTTCCTCTTATTCAGGAATTATTGAAAGTGACAGGTGATGATGTAGAGGTAATGCATTGCGTGGAAATGTCTTGGTCAAGGTTTTTTTTTTTGGTAATATCTGTATCTATGCTAAAAATTTTGCATTTGAATAGAGACTCTTTAAGAGCTAAGATGTTTTGGTCATCATTTTGTAACACCTATGTGTGAGAAGGTTTAAAAAATGACATATGATATGCCTGCTGGCTGCTGTAACTAATTCTTTTGGGAGGATTGAGACCTCATTTAACACCTATTGATCTTGTTAGTTTGTTTTTGGCATTGGATATGCTTTATTGTCACATTGCTAAACTCCTGCTCATATATTGTCTAATGCAGTATATATAGTAAAATCTTTGAATATTTTTTTCAGAGGAAAAGTCATATTCATGGATTTATGTTTATGATATACTGCTGTTTCCATTCACCGATTGGTAGAAAGAAATCCCTCTTATGATGGATAAGATAAATGGAGGTTAATAACCCTTCTGCTATGAAATTCACTGATTTCTACTTTCTTGTTCTTTATTAATGCACCATTGGATAAGCAGAAATATTGGTTTTCCTTCTTTTACTTGTGTTTGGTGCCTGGCTTTTTGTTGGCTAGCTAGAAAAACAACTTTTTGCCATGCTTGAGGCTCACTTTTGACGTATATGTTTTATGTTGTCAGTATACATCATGTGTTTTTTTAATATCGCAGGTCCAATCTTATGAGAGACTTTTACCATTAGTTCCCTTGGAACTTCCTCTTGGTTCTTTTTCAAACATAAGAACAGGTGACTGCATCGTAAGTTTTTCACGCAAGGAAATATATAGATTGAAGGTTAGTAGTACTTTCTGTATGATTTTCCGTCTAAATGCATGCTCTCTTTGTTCATTTGCTTGATTGATTCTGTACTTTCAATTAGTTATATCTTGAAAAATAGAAATGGTAATGAAAACCATGTTTATAAGAAAATACCAATGTTTCGTTATGTCAAAACATTAGTTTTTCTTCATTCTATTTTCCGTCTGTTCTTTATGGGGGGGGATAAGTTTCAACTCCCTTCTCTTTAATCCTCAGTATTGAGGCTTACATGCAAATTTTCAAAATTTGATCTCATACTCCTTTCTATTCACTATTGTTTACCTTTGGAAATGCATTCTGATTTTCACCGTCTTTCATAGAAAAAAATTGAAACTGGGGGAAGGCATCTTTGCTCTGTGGTTTATGGTTCATTGCCACCGGAGACTCGGACAAGACAGGTATTTGCTTCCTTCTGGTCTTATTTATCACCAAGTTTGTACAACATTTAGTGTGCGTGTGCCGTGTGGGGTGACGGTATATTCTCACTGTTTCCTGTTTACTTATTTTATCATTAATAAAATCCTTAGAATTGCAGGCAACAAGGTTTAATGATGCAAGCAGTGAGTTTGATGTTCTTGTGGCCAGTGATGCAATTGGAATGGGTCTAAATCTGAACATTTCTAGAATAATTTTTTCAACATTGAAAAAGTTTGATGGTACCGAAATGCGGGATCTTACAATACCAGAGATCAAGCAAATTGCAGGTTCCATTTAATATTTTAGCTGAATTCTGGAATTTTATTTTTATATGATTGTTGAACTGTTGTGGTCAAATTTCCTTCTCAAGACGCCTGTTGAGTAGGTAGACTATAACGCTTATGATGTATCCTTATTCTCCTTCGCCCTCCATGCTTTATTATGCATGTTTAAATAGAACCTAGCTGCACAATTAACTATTCTATCCTGTGACACAATTTCTGTTCTTGTTATGTCGTGAATGTTTGCATATTAACCATATCTATGTAATCCACTTGCTTAAGTTGGCAGCTTGTAATTTTCTTAGTTCATGGAGCCACACCCTGTAAAGTTGATAAGTTCTCACTAGATGGCTTTATATTCTTGTAGGGAGAGCAGGAAGGTATGGATCAAAATTTCCTTGGGGCGAAGTTACCTGTTTAGACGCAGAGGATCTACCTTTGCTTCATTCATCATTGAAATCCACCTCACCTATTTTAGAGGTGATCGTTTTATCACTTATGTTCCTACAGATTCTGCATTGATAGGGCTTGTTTCATTTTCAATGAATCTCAATAAGTAGCTTTTATATATTTTTGCTCATGGATTATGCATTTTTGGAGTGAATCTTTTCTATAACGCAGAAAGCTGGAGTATTCCCATCCTTTGATCTCATTTATATGTATTCACGTTTAAAACCAAAAAGAGGTCTCTATCGGATTTTGGTAGGTTATCTTATGCTATTAGTTTTTCTGTATTTTTTTCTCTGTTGTTTTTTAAGTGACAGAAGTATAAACCCGTTGTTGCAGGAAGATTTTCTAGAAAATGCCAAACTATCCGAGAATTATTTCTTTGCAAACTGTGAAGAAATTTTGGTAAGTCTCTTCTATCATGTTCCCTTCCAATGTAATGAGGGAGTGATGAAAGAAACTCTTGCAAAGTGAAATTAATTTCCTGACTTACGGATATTAACTTTTATGTTATGAATCAATGATTATGTATCTATCCCGCAATGAGGGCTAAAAGGCTCTTTAATGTCATCAGAAAGTTGCCGCCGTTATTGATGGACTGCCTCTAAGTTTGCAAGATAAGTATACTTTCTGCATCAGGTAACATCTTTGATCTTCCTGTCTCAGACAACCTAAAATTTGTTATTTGAGTTTCCCGTCAGTTTCACCGATGCAATTTCAAGTTTGCCTTTTGTTATTTTATTCTGGTCAGTCTGTAGAAGTTTGAAGTTCCTTATGCCTTAATGTCTTCTTTGTGCAGTCCAGTTGACATGAATGATGAAATTTCGTCTCAGGGTCTAACACAGGTAAAAATTTGTTACGGTCTTTGTTATCTTGAATGTGGAAACTAACAGTTGTCTATTCTATCTTGACGGATCAGTTTGCGCAAAATTATGCAAAGAGAGGCCTTGTTCATCTTCGAGAAATATTTACACCTGGTACACTTGAGGTGCCTAAAACACCTACTGCACTCAAGGACCTTGAATCCATTCACAAGGTAGGAATTCGTTTATCTCGAGTGTCATGTGTTATAATAAGCTATTTAACATCTTGGCCCCTAAAATTTCTTGAATTATATGTTAATCCGGAATTTCTCGTTGTTTGCTTACACCCGAAGGTCTTGGAACTCTATGTTTGGTTGGGTTTTCGGTTTGAGGAATCGTTTCCCGACCACGAGTTGGCTTCATCACAGAAGGACATTTGCAGTTCGTGAGTACTCTTTGTGTCGTATTTGCCACTTGCATTTGCTTTACTTTGTTTACCTTACTAGCGATGTTTGGATTTGTAGGTTAATTGAGGAATTCCTTGAAAGATTCGGTTGGCAAAAGCCAATGTCAAGGAAGTTAACTTCAAACACCAAGTTGAATTCACTAATGGAAAAATTAATGGAAAATAAGAAAGGACGACACCTCTGTGATTAGATGTAAGCTTGTATGTATTTATTCGTCCACCCCACCCGATAAACCTCTCAGTTCATCTGGAACGATGAACTCGAACTCGACATCTCCAAGCTCGAATCTCTTACATTTTTTTACATTTCTAACAATTTACTAATAAAATGCTTCGATTGTTATTTTTCGTGTCTAGTTTTGTTCATATTGTATAGTCATGTCACGTCCAACTCTGCTAGAACCAGGCCTAATAGCAATGTTGCATGTTGCACGAGTTTGCAGAATGATTTAAGCAAGTTTTCAAGTAGCTAAATTTAACATTATTTTCAACAAATAATATTATCTGTTTTAATTGTTTTATCATAATATTATAAATAATCAAATCGACGGTATAAAAATGGAAAGAAGGGTATCGTTCTTCAATGTTTTTCGAAATCGGCAATTGAAAACAGGACTAACCTGCCGAACAACTGCAGCTGATACGTCGGCAAAGCTAAGATCTGGATAAGGCATATCACAGCAATAAATTTCCCACAAGCAAATGCCAAAGCTGTAGACATCACATCTTCTATTGTAACTTGAAAGGTTTACCGTCAAGAACCTAAATCGATTCCAGACAAAATGGACATATAAGTTATGCAGATGGGAAAACGAGCGACGACATAAAAGAGTTTTCGATAACTCATACCTCTGGGGCCATGTAGCCGAGAGTACCGGTTTCACCAGTCATGTCCTGTGGATTCTGAGCTTCAACACGAGCAACACCGAAATCTGCAATTTTAAGATTTCTGTGAGCATCTAGCAACATGTTTTCCGTGTTGACATCACGATGTACAATCTTTCTCGAGTGTAGGTAGCTAAGACTGCAGTTCGGAATAAGCGTACTCGTCAGCAGAGAAATATTATTTATACCCTCGAAACTGAAGAAAAGATTTGCCCTCTTACCCTCTAGAGAGGTCCAGAGCAAGTATTGTTTCAGTGTTCCGCCCGGGAGATACTCGACAACAACACAGCAAGCTTTAGAAGGAAGGGGATTAAGGCTTTCGGCCGAAGGATTTTTTGAAGGAATCTTAAAATTTGAAGTTCCCATGGAGGCCCCGATAAACTGTAACTCAAATTTAAGGGGGGAACAATGCATTCAAAAAAGATCGATATTTACATCAAGACTTTGGGTGTCACGATGGTATCAACAAGTAAACATGCCAAAGCAGAAAAAATATTCGACCTTTGTAACATTAGGATGATTAAGCTTATGCCAAACAGCAACCTCTTGCCGAAATGATGTTCGCAGAGCAGCGGTTTCAGCAGTTGTGGCAAAACCATCCTCGCCCCAGTCTAACAGCTTAACTACAATACCATAAAACCAAATCATGAGCAGCAAAAGCACTCCACAAAAGAAACAAACAGAAACAGTCATTACTTATAGCCATCTTCAATTTTATTAGCGGTTTAACATGCCGCCATCCTGACATGGTGGAATCTGCTAACGCTCGACTACACAAAAGATAGGGTCAAACCAATCGAGCAGGAAAACCAATATCAAGCAGAAATACCCCAGAACACAACAATCCAATACAAGATAAAGTCAATTGAATTAAGTGCTTTAATGTCAAGGGTTCCCAATCGAGCATCTTCGAACCAAAGCATTAACAACGCGATCAGCCATCAAAACGTTTTAACTTATTCATGTTGTGCACTACAAAAAGTATTGCTCTCTATCAGAATACCGAATTCCATGCCTTAGGTCAAGCTGCATCAAGTAATTAGGCAATTTTGATCAACAACAAACTACAAAACTTAAGAACTAACGGAGATAATGCGAGGATAAGGGTTTCAAGACATTGTTTTCTTCAACCTCTTATCTTCTCCATAGGATCGAAAGCGAAAACAATTACCTGCAACATCTTGATTATCATAAGTGGCACGATAAACGGTACCATAGGTTCCATGAGCTATAACGTTCCTTAAGTCCAAATTAGCCAAATCAATCTCCCATTCCTCCAATAGGCCTTTGCTTCTCAATGTTCTTAGACCAAACCCGGCTCAGGTGCTTCTCTAGCTGCATATCCAAGCTTTTCAAATCGATTTTATCGGCTCTAGAGATCATGTCTTCGCTGCTAATGTTTCCATTACCCTTCATCTTTGAATCTTCTCCACCACCTGGTTCCATTGGTGACTTGAGACCACTATCTTCCACTCCACTTTTCGAATCCATACTCAAAGAAGAATTTAGCAATATCAACAACTCAAAACAACAATCAAAACCTCATGGAATTAAACTAGAAACAGACAACAAATATATACATATATATACCTATGATGAGATTAAAAACAAAAAGAAAAAACCCAGTTTCACCAACCCCAAATCCTATTAGAACTCTGCATTAAAAATTGGCCTTACAACCCAAATTTCATCATTTGTATTTTTCTTTAAAAAAAGTGAAATTGGTTTTTTTATTTATATTTAGACCCGAACTACTGAAATTTTGTAACATTAATTAAAAAGACAGAATCTTTAACTAAAATGCTAAAAAGTAAAGCCTAAGAAAACGACCCAATTCCCACCATTACACTAGAGCGATTGCAAAGACCCTACTATATGCGTTGTCTTGTCGATAATGACAATATCGACAATGAGTTAAACATAAGAGTAAAATACACAAATGGTCCCTTAATTATATGATGATATTTTGTTAAGTCCCTCAACTATTAAAAGTTATAAAATGATCATTGATTATAAGAATATGCTTTGTTGAGTCACCCGACTATTAAGTGTTACAAATGGTCACCCGACTATACATATGTTTCAAACTCGTCATTGTTCATTAAAAATTTGTCAGTCGTTTAAGTTGGACATTAATTTGTTAACCGTGTTTTCATTAACATCTCTTAAGAAATTGATGTGAATCTTATTAGAATTGGGTCATGATTCTTTTTAATATAAATGGTATGAATCATCTAATACGCTTTTGATACAATTTAAGAATTAAAACACAAAATCTTATATTGAAATCATCTAATTAATTATATAACAGACGATATTTTAAATAATAGGAAGAAATATATGAAGAAAAAAGGATCCAATGGCATTATACAAAATTGATGACACTTTCTAAATATGGGAACATAATTTCTGCCTTTTAAGGAACAAAATGTCTGCCTTGTTCCTTCACGGTGCTGTCGAGGACAACCATCTACTTTTGTCTTTTATTTTAACTTCTAAAAGTACAATCAGAGAGAATTTGACTTAATCTCATATATTTATATATTTAATTTAATTTTTTAGATGATTAATAATTTGCTTATTAAATTTAATTTTTTTTAAAATGGTCCATTCTCCAAACATAGTTAACATTTGGTGGACTGGGTTTAAGGGGACGTTTTGCAAGACTCTTTGGGGTTATCTTTTTCTGGCCATTTTACTTTGGGCCTTCTCCATTTACTTGATCTGACCCTCTAGGTTAAAATATTTTCAAAAAAAAATTAGCTGACCTTTTTCTCTAGGTCAAAATATTCTCAAAATTAGAGTTAAATTAGTCGAATTTAGATTTAACGTAAAAATTTATTTAATTTTAATTAATATAAAATAATATTATAATTATTATTTTAATATTTATTAATAATTATAATAATATTCTTTTCTTTATACATTTTTTTAATTAGGTCCAGATTTCATCTAATAAAAATAAAAATTATATATATATATATATATTTTGTGTCGAATCTGGTCAGATGAGTATATGTTTTATATAAAAAAACAAATCAAATTGTAAATTTAGTGAAATCTCCCTAAATCTAAATCGAAGCATATAACAAGTGAAAATATATAACACTCAAATCAAATTTAGATAAATCGAAATTTTAACTCAACATGACTTATGCTCACCTTTTACCTTACCGTGACCGAGGAAAACAGGCATCGTCTTACGAGTGGGATGCAATGTGGGTTCAACAAAGCGATGAGTTAGAACCCATCAAATTAAAACAAAGTTTAACTCATATACTCTAAGTTAAAAGAGTAATAGTTGAATCCATCAGTTTATTTTAGCGTTTAAAGAGAGTGTAATTCTCTTTATTAATGTTATGAATTCGAATAATTATATTTGTAGAGTGTATATGTTAACCATAATTAAGGATAATTTTAAAGAAATATTAGAGGTTGTTCGAGACCCTTTCAAGTGGATGGTCCTACTTTTCTTTGTATTTTTTCAGATTTTGTAGGCAAAGCTGCAGTTATATGGTTGGTGGGTTTTGAAAGTGTGAATTGTGAACCCTAAAAGTGTCCCATTAAATTCATCATATACTTGCACCCTCACCTACATTTTTTCAAACCCAATAAATTTAGAGTGAAGATAATATTTTCTTTGATCGAATAAATAGATTTGATGATTCAAAAAATCTCATTTTTTATTATAATTTCAATAAAAAAATTATTAAATATATTAAAAAATTGATTAATCTGTCATAAGTATAAGGTAATAATTATTCAAATATAACTTTTAATCATTCGATATTAGACATTCATACCCCAAAATATTTATGATACTCGAACTCAAAATCTCAAATAATATCAAAATCATAAATACGAGCATCTTAGTGTAAGTGTACAATTTTGTTGTCAAGAGATGAAAAGAGACTAAACTATAAGGAAAAATCAAAGTGTCGGTGGGTTAGATTATCTTTGGTAGTGAGTAAGCATCAATAGTGCCTTTGAAAACGATGGGAGATGACTCTAAAGCTTCAACTATTCTTCAAGCAAAGTTTTATTGTTTCCTTCCTTTAGGGTAAATATATATATATATATATAAATATTTACCAATACAAATGAGAATTATATGTATTTATATCAAATTGGATCAATCCTTAATTTTTTCTTAAAAAATAAATTAAATTTCAAGTTGGATATAACTTTCTCTAAATTTAGATTAAATTAAACGAGAAGTGAAAGATATAATACTCAAATCAGACTTGAATAAGACCAAAAAAAACCTTGACCGACCCCGATCTATGCCCTTCCCTAACCACAGCATTGTGAAAATCAAATTAGTGATCGTACCGATTAGATAATCAACTTTATTTAATCAAATCCAGATTAAAAAAATATTTAAAAAACTGGTATACCTTATTTGTTATTTTCTTTAATTGTTTGACATAATTTTTATTTTATCCACCAGTTTAATAAACTAAATTACGAATTTTTAATTTAATTTTTTTGAATTAATCATTGGTATCCAATCTATTGACCTACTAATTCAGATTAGGTATTGCAGAAGCGAAGACGACCCTTCCAATCCAGTTTGCTTCATTCGCAAACGCCAAAAATTCGAATATCATTCCGATTAAATTTTGACAACCATGACCACAAATTCAAATTTAACTCCAAAATCATTATTGTGATTCTTAATTTCATTCTTCCCTTATGTAATTATGTTTAATTTTCCATGTTTGGCAAGTATCTTCTATCATCTATCATTCTTTTTCCTCTTTGATGAAATGATATATTACCTTTTTCTTTTGTATATTTCAACTTCGGAACTTCGGACAGCCGTTACTTTGAAAGAAGAAGAAAAACGAAGTAGACGAAGCATGTGAATAATACGTAGGGATGGGCATGGGTGGGATTTTTGACCCGACCCGGGAACAATGAATCCTCAATCCGAGATCCGATCTAACCTGATATCCGATTTAACCCGAGATCCGATCTAACCCGACCAAAACAAGATTTCACCATAGCCGAATATATAACTTAAAAATTCTACCCGAAATAATAATAAAAATATTATTTTTATTCAATAAAAATAGTGACTTAATTGAAAAAAATAATATATAGAGGAGTATTATTATAATTATTCCTAAATATATAAGGTAAAATTATATATTTTTTAGAGTCGGTCAGGTTGGGTATTTTTACCCTAAACCCAATCTCGACCCAAACATCACAATTAAGAAACCCGACCCAACCCGAACCTAAAATAAAAATAAAAAATAAAAAAAACTCGACCCGATCGGATCGAGTCGGGTCGGAACCCATCAAATTCGGATCCATGCCCATCCCTAATAATACATAGTAAACTACATTTATTTAAATTTTATCATACATTAGGTCAATGAAGGAACCACCAATTTTATCATACGATAGTAAACTATCATTATAAAAAAAGAATTACCATCTATTTAAAAATTCGATTTATTTTGACTTCGAATACAATTAAGATGCAATTAATTATCAAATATACAAATTTTAAAAAATAAAATATATTGAATTATCTAAAAAGGAGACGTTGGGTTTCTTATAACTTGACAAAAGTAGGACCATACCTAGAGACCCACCATTGAAAAGGATCAAGCTACCTTAATAAACGAACAGACGTAATCCAAAATCATAGATGCAAATAAATCAATTTTTAAGATTTTATTATATAGTTTTTATGTGTAAAATACTCAGAGTCGCATTATTTTCCTCCAATTGTACATTTTTCTTTTGCTTGTGGTCCATATTATTGCAATGAGATTAGGGTGAAGAACAATAATTCCATATAGTTGGTGTGATTAATTAATATTAAGAAGGGAGATTACTTCATTAGTGGAGTTAGGTTTATTGTTAAGGTGTGATTTGTGTGAAAGCTTACCAACTGTTGCTAAATTAAGTGACAATTATTTGTTTGTTTTTTTCTTAGTAAATAAGCTAAACCAGAAAGAAATATTAATGCTGAAAAAGAAAAAGGAATTCAGATTTCAATCGACTATTTAACGCGGAGATTCTTCAATTATATTTAGATTCACAACCTATGTTTTAATTTAAGGGGCGTTTGTTTAATTCAGAATGATTAAGCGTTGAATGATTCAAATATTGAATGATTCAGAGACTCTGTATGAATTAGCTCTGAATGTGAAATGTTGTTTGATAATGGCTCTGAATCATTCAGAATGTACTTTAATGCTGAATCATTCAACACTGTTTTGCTAAATCAGTTAGCACTGAATCATTCAGATGTACGAAACAAAAACGTTGAACGGTTCAACATTCAGAGCCAAACAAACAGCCCCTAAATTATGTTTAGAATATAGAGTAATATAGAATAAAAGATGATCTAGAAATAAAATTAAAATATTTAAAAAATTAAAATTAAAATTTAAAATAGGATGAAGTACATAAATGATTTTATAATTAGGTGGTATTGTTTTGTTGTATTTCTTAATTATTAAAATTTATAAAATGGTCTAAGGATTATAGAATGTTGTTTTGTTAAGTCTCCTGACTATTGAAAGTTACAAAATGATCACCTGACTATGCATATGTTTCATATGTTCCAAACTCGTCATTTTTAATTAAAAATTAGATGAAAATCTGAGCTGGACGTTAACATGATAACTGGAATATGATAAAATTTTATCATAAAATCTTAAACGATTATTATATCACAATCAATATGTTCACTTTCACCTCAAACGACGGTCACATTTTTAATGAAAAATGATGAGTTTTAAACATATGAATAGTTGGATGGTCATTTTGTAACTTTTAATAGACGAGGGACTCAACAAAGCAACGTCATGCAGATGAATGACCATTTTATAACTTTTAATAGTCAATGAACTAAAAAATAACACCCTATAATCAAAGTACTATTTATGTACTTTACCCTTTAAAATAAACATCATACTTTGAAGACGTTTAACAACACAACTTTCATCCCCAAATGGCATCAACAACAGGATCCATTTTGACCAATCCCCTTAAATCTCTCCAATGATTAAAGTACCATTTATCAACTTCAATTTGCACAATGGCAAAATGTCATTTCAGTCTCCTCCTTAAATGCAAATTACTTAAAATTCATAAATAACTTACCTTGTTTACTCTGCTCCTCTTTTTACTTTTCTGTCCTTATCTCTCTTTGTTTCTCTGCCAAATCTAAGAATATAATGCAAAGAACTCAATTGGGAGAGGGGAAAAAAAGATGAAGTTTAGAGATAGCTTGTAATAGACAACAATGGGGTAACTTTGGAATTGATGCGGCTGGAGATTTACCATCACAGCTGCTGGTCATCAAAATCCCATTTCCTAGATTTTTGTGTGTGTTTTTGGTATTTTTTTTTATCCGAACTCTTGGCCAGACTTGTTCTTTTGCAGTTTTTGTACTTCCCATTTGTTTAAAGTTCATGTTTATGCTAAAAGTTATCTCCTTTTCTTCTGTTTTTCTGTTTTCTGATGATTCCAATTTTCTTAAAGTTTATGTTTTTTGTTGACAAGATACCTTTCTTTTGGTGATCAGAGTTCATTGACCAGATTTCCTTCCTTTTGCAACTCTGGTGTTTGCTTATATGACTACTCTTGTTCATATGATTCCTTTCTCCTTCCTTTTTGAGACCACTCTTACATAAATTTCACGACCGATTCTTACCAAAAAGAACAAAAAGAAGAAGAAAAAATCCAGGATCATGTGCTTTGTATGGTGGATTTCTATGATGAATTCCTTTTGTAAATTGGACCACTGGGTCCAAACAACTTTCCTTTTTGTTGATTCACTTTCACTGCAAGTACAAATGCTGTATATTATTTGCTGCCTTTTAAGAATCTTTTGTTTTAAATTCATGGCATCTCCATTTGTTCAATTGATTGTTTACAAAGTTGAAGATCTGATATGATCCTTTTCTTTTCAGTGGATTAGTGCTTGTTGATCTCGAAAGCTTGAATCAAGTCCCCATTGCACATCTTTGGAGTGATCTTGACTGAGCAGGTAACTTAAAACTATATAGATTATCGGGTTTTCGAGCCTTTGTTCGAATAGTTCAATGCGAATTTTGTTGTTCTGAATGCATTTGAAGTAGCTTGTCTTGATTATCTTGGTTTTATAGGGGCAAGGGATCCGGAATAAAGATATATAAGTGCAGAGATAATAGAGTAGATTGTGTTATTCTGGCCTGGATCCATTATTTGGGGTTTTGTGACTGGTATAAAGACCAGGCTTTCACAAAGTCGAAACTGATTGCACTATTGTTCTTTGCTGGAGTAATGGCAACTTTGTCACATTCGGAGTCTAGACGGTTGTATTCCTGGTGGTGGGACAGCCATATTAGCCCTAAGAATTCTAAATGGCTTCAGGATAATCTTACAGGTACTGATTTTCGTTCTAAATAAGTTGCTGTTTCAGTCTAGGATGATATATATATATTCCTTCTTTATATGTCCAAAGATCAGCATAGTGAAATGTTGATCTCTATTTGCTTCATTAGCTTTTCCAGTTTGAATTTCTGCTGTATGATCATCATGTGAGATAAAAAAAGGTGATATTCCGATATCAGAATTGTTTTATGCATGCTCGAGTTACTGTGTTTGCATAGGTGTCATTTCCTTTTCGTCATTGTAATTCTTTTGCTGTTGTCTTTTGGTCCGTCTCCTCAACTTGAACTGTTCTGTTTCAACAGACATGGATTCTAAAGTTAAAGCAATGATCAAATTGATCGAAGAAGACGCGGATTCGTTTGCAAGAAGAGCAGAAATGTACTATAAAAAACGTCCGGAGCTCATGAAATTAGTTGAAGAATTTTATAGAGCGTACCGTGCATTAGCAGAGAGGTATGACCATGCAACCGGGGAGCTTCGCCATGCCCAGAAAACCATGGCTGAAGCCTTTACCAACCATGTTCCTTTCGTACTGGCTGATGAATTACCCTTGGGCTCTTCAGGCCCTGAGGCTGAGCTTTACACACCGGACACACCACACCAAATTCGTGCGTTCTTTGATTCAGATGACTTGCTAAAGAACTCTGGAATAAACAAAAGGGGTTTAAAGCAGTTGAATGAGATATTCGAGTTCGGAAAAGTGCCTCCAAAAGCCAACATTGCCGAAGCAAGAATGAAGGGGGCGAATGATGGTGGAGCTGAGGAAAGTGAGCACAGTGGGTTTTCTCAGTTATCAATTGAGAATCAAAATCTGAAGAACCAAGTTCTTTCCGAGTCTCAATGTGCAGATAAAGCTGAAACCGAAGTAGAATTCTTGAAGAAAACTCTTGCCGAGATTCAAGCTGAAAAGGAAGACGTCCTTCAGCAGTACCAACAGAGTTTAAAGAAGTCATCTAGCCTGGAGAGTCAACTTAGTGAGGCACATACGTATTCCACGAATCTTGACGAACAAGCCAGCAAAGCTGAAATCGAAATCAAAGTATTGAAGGAAGCACTAAGTAAATTGGATGCTGAGAGAGATGCCAGTCTTCATCAGTACAACCAGTGCTTGGAAAGAATATCCAGCATGGAGAATACTATTTCCCAATCCCAAGTGGATGTGAAAAGGCTTAACGAGAGGGCTTTCAAAGCAGAAATTGAAGCTCGGAATCTTAAGATAGAGCGTTTTAGATTAGAGGCTGAAAAGGAGGCTGGTCTTCTTCGATACAAGCAGTGTCTTGAGATGATATCTTCGTTAGAAAATAAAATTTCACTTGCTGAAGAAAACGCAGAAATGCTCAACATGCAAATTGAAAGAGCTGAAAGCAAAGTTGAAGCACTAAAAGATGCTCTTGCAAAGCTGAAAGAAGAGAAAGATACCGTGGCTCACCGGTATGAGCAGTGCTTGGAAACAATTGCCAAGTTGGAGAGCGAACTTTCTTGCGTCCAAGAGGAGTCAAAACGCTTAAACAGTGAGATTCTAATCAATGCTGAAAAATTGAGGAGTGTGGAAGAGCAGCGTGTTCTTCTGGAGAAATCGAATCAATCTTTACTAGCAGAGGCCGATAATCTGGTACAGAAAATAGCAATCAAGGATCGAGAACTTTTGGAGAAGCAACAGGAGTTGGAGAAACTTCAGACATCACTACAAGACGAGCATCTATGGTTTGTGCAAGTCGAAGCTACATTGCAAACGTTACAAAAGTTGAATTCGCAATCTCAAGAGGAGCAGAGAGTTTTGACATCAGAGCTTCTAAATAAGCTTCAAAAGTTGAAGGAGTTGGAAGTAAGCAACCGAAAATTGGAAGAAGAAATTCAGCAAGTGCAAGGTGAAAATCAGAACCTCAATGAATTAAACAGTTCTTCTGCCGTTTCAATAAAAAGTTTGGAAGAGGAAATTTTCGGCTTGAAGGAACTGAAAGAAAAACTTGAAAATGAGGTCGCAGTACAAAGTGAACGAAGTAATATACTCCAGCAAGAGGTTGACAAATTGAAGGATGAAATCGAGGTGTTGAGTAACGCATACCAGGCATTAATTCAGCAGCTGTTGTATGTAGGTTTAAATCCGGAATGTCTAGAATCATTGTTGAAGGAGTTGCAAGACGAGAACTCAAAGCTGAAGAAAGAATGCGGCAAACAAAGAGGTGAGACCGAGGTTCTTTATGAGAGACTGAGAGGCATGGATGACCTTTCGGAGAAAAATGCTGTTTTGAGAAGTTCACTGTCGGTATTGAATGGCAAATTGGAAGGGTCGAGGGAGCTTGTTGAGGAATTACAGAAGTCGCGTGAACTTCTTCGAGGAGAAAAATCTTCGCTTGATGCTGAGAAATCCACCCTTCTTTCTCAATTACAGAAAATGACCGAGAATATGCAGAAGCTCTTGGAGAAAAACACAGTGCTGGAAAATTCCCTTTCTTGTGCTAATATTGAGCTCGAAGGTTTGAGATCAAAGTCAAAGACCTTAGAAGAATTCTGCCATTATCTCAGAAACGAGAAATCCAATATTGCAGGTGAAAGAGAGAGCCTGATCTTGAAGCTAGAGACTGTTGAAAAGAGGCTATGCATCCTGGAATTCCGATTTGATAAACTGGAGGAAAAATATTCTGACCAGGAGAAGGAGAAAGTATCTACACTCTCTCAGGTGGAGCACTTACATGATTCCCTCGGTGTGGAACAACAAGAGCACGCCTGTTATGTTCAGTCAAGTGAATCTCGGTTAGCAGATCTCAAAAACCATGTCCATCTACTGCAAGAAGAAAGTAGGTTCCGAAAGGAGTTTGAAGAAGAGATTGATAAAGCTGTCAAGGCTCAGGTTGAGATCTTCATCTTCCAAAAAATCGTAAAAGATCTTGAGGAAAAAAACTTGTCTCTGTTGATTGAATGTCAGAAACATGTTGAGACATCCAAATTGTCGGATAAACTGATCAGGGAGATGGAGAGTGAAAGTCTTGAGCAGCAGATAGAAGGCGAATTCCTATTGGATGAAATCGAAAAACTAAGATCCGGGATTTATTTAGTTTTCAAGGCTCTTCAGTTTGATCCTGTTAACGGTCATCGGGACGTGTTTGAATCAGATCAAGTTCCCTTTTCACGCATTCTGGATAATGTTGAAGACCTAAAGAGTTCACTATCGATAAACCATGAGGAAAAGCAACGGCTGGTTGTTGAGAACTCTGTTCTGTTAACTTTGATTGGACAACTTAAATTTGAGGGCAGTGAACTTGTGTCAGAGAACCAAGCCCTTGAGTGTAAGGTTGAGATCATGGAAAAGCAGAATGCAATGCACCAGAAAGACAATCAGGAGCTTCTAGAGATGAATCGGCGGTTGATGCTGGAAGTGCGTGATGGGAACTTGGAGAAAGAAATATTAACTGCCGAATTGGAGATTGAACGTGGACAGTTGATGAGCATGCATGGAACTTGCTTACTACTAGAGGAGGAAAATTCCCAGCAGCTCGAAGAAAACAGGCTTTTTCTCGAGAAAATTTCGGACCTGATAGAGGATATCCGTATTCTTGAAGACCAGAACAGTATTCCCCTGCAAGAAGTAGTAGCCCTTAGCAGTCTTTCTGTTGTTTTTGAGACCTTTGGTGCTGAGAAAACAGTTGAAATTGCAAAATTGGAGGAGAAGTTGGACAAGAAAGAAGCTGAAATTTCGGATTTGAATGAAACCGTTGAAAAGCTGCACAAGGAGCTATATGCTGTCAAAGATTTAAACGACCAATTAAACTATCAACTAGTTATTGGTAATGATTTGCTAAGACAGAAGACAGTCGAGCTTTCGGAAGCCGATGAAAAACTTCAGGCTGCACATGAATTGAATGCAGAACTGTACCAGACCCTTGAGGAACTGAAGATGGAATGTGAGGAATCTAAAAGGATTCGAGTAAATTTAGAGAAACGGATTTGTGAACTATCCGAAGATAGCAAAGAGCAGAAAATGGAAATTGAACACCTTCGTGAAGAAAATGACGATTTGAGTTCTGAAGTTGTTACATTACGGAAGGAAATTGAAGAACAGAAGATGCATGGAGAAAACCTGAGCCTAGAGCTGCAAGAAAAAAGCAACGAGTTCGAGCTGTGGGAGGCTGAGGCTGCATCATTTTACTTTGATTTCCATGCTTCTGCCATCTCCGAAGTTCTACTCGAAAACAAAGTACGCGAGCTTACTGAAGTTTGCGGGACTCTTGAAGAAGAAAATGCTGCAAAAAGCGATCAAATAGGACATATGAAGGAAACGGTCGAGTTCTTGGAAACTGAAATCGGAGGGTTGAAGGTCCAGATGTCTGCATATGTTCCGGTCATAGCTTCACTGAGAGACGGTATAACGTCCCTTGAGCATAATGTCCTTATTCAGCCAAAGCTTTGTGTTCCAAGTGATGATGAAGAAAAGGTACTGTACATGCTTATATTCTACCTTTTCTAATTGGATATTCTGATTTCACTAAATGTAAAATTATTATTTTGTTTGTTTCCTTCAGGATGTAGAAATGGCAGATGAACTTCATGAAATGAGCTCTGAGAAACTTGAAGAAGGACAAAGTGCTTTTCTGACGGCTGGGATTTCGGACTTGCAGGAGATGCACACTAGGCTTAAAGCAGTTGAAAAGGCAGTGGTGGAAGAGATGAGCAGGCTTATGAAGCAAAAAAGTAATCAAAACAGCCATGAAACAGATGCTCCATCTAATGGCATCGAGCCCCCACGTCAAGAAACGAAGAAAGGTATGCAAGTCGGTGATGAGCTTGCTCGGAATCTCAAGGCAAAGAAGACGAAACCTGGGATTACTGAAACTAGAAATTGGATGTTGTTGAAAGATATTCCCCTTGATGAAGTCTCAGATTCTTCGTTATGCAGAAGGAGCAAGAGAGAGACAGGCACGGCTGATGATCCAATGCTCGAGCAATGGGGGTCTTCGGAGTATGAATGCGGTGTTGATTCACAACTCAATGACATGCAAGAACGGGCGATGGTGCCTGGGGAGATCGTTGCTTCTCATCAGTTTAGTGATGTAGACCAGAAAACCGATAGTTCTTTGGGAACACCGGTGGACAAGGAGCCGAGCATTGATAAGCTTGAGATTTCAACCAGCATTAGAGAGCCTAAGAATGGAGCAAAAAGCAAAAAGGTCTTAGACAGACTTGCTTCCGATGCTCATAAATTGATGAGTCTCCGAACTAACGTCAAACAGCTGAAGAAGAGAATGGAGGTCAAGAAGAGGAAGAAAGCTTTTGATTTAGAGTACGCACAAGTTAAAGAGCAATTGCAGGAGGTGGAGGATGCAATCACGGAGTTGCTGAATGACAACAGTGAATCGGTCAAGGATATTAAAGGGAGTTCTTCACCTTTCCATGGGACAAACACAACCGATTTGGAAGAACCCGGAGATGGTGACTTGAAGAAAGTGCGAGAGCGGGCACAAAAAGGGTCTGAAAAGATTGAAAGGCTTCAGTTCGAGGTCCAGAGCATAGAATATGTTATGCTGAAACTCGAAGATGAAAGGAAGAGCAAAGGGAAAACCCGAACGGGTGTCCTCTTGAAGGACTTCATCTACAGCGGCGGAAGATGGAGCGGAAGGCGAAAGAAGCCTTGTTTTTGTGGGTGTACAAGACATTCTAGCAGTGTAGACTGAGGCTACCATTCACAAACACAGAAAAGCTTGTTGTTCCCATGGAAATTTCCTGGTATGATTATGCTTAGTATCTAGCTTTTAGAACAATGTAGGAATTAGTCCTCTGATGTAATCAGTTAATAAGCTGCGTCCAGGCACTTCTCTTTTCGAGTATTCTCAAACTAGTACAACTTCCTTGTACATATATCCACAAAACCCCAATCCCCACAGTTGAGCTATTATCATTTTTATTATGTAAAATTAATAAATTTAACTTAAAACGCGCTATATAAGAACTGTAACTTTATGATAATTCTGAGATTTCATAGATTCATATCATGTTTATGTCTGCGAAAGAGCGACATATTGTCTACTCAAAATTAAGTTGCAAAATCATATCCTTAACACCAAAACCATGGAGAACTTCTCTATAAGTTTTTCAAGAAAATCTCTTTGAAGCATAAAAAAAACATGACAAGTTCAGGGCCTCTTCTTCATTCAAGCTCCAACGACCTCTGCAGGAGCCTCAGCCATTGTCTCTTCAGCAGGCCTCTCTAATTTCACACCAATGTCCTCTGAGTAGTCACCATGAACCTAAATGAACAAAAACAAAAAATAGTTAACATGGGACAACATGGTGTATCTTTGATATCTTATCCGGTAAATACCGTAAAGACTGGGTTAGTGGGATATATTTTTATGGGAAAATATGAGAGAAATGGTGTCAGAAACATGCCTCCATCAACTTTCCAAGATCAAACTTGGGAGCCTTCAAAATTTTGACTTTACGAATGAACACATTCTGTAAAGGATAGATGCTAGATGTCGCTTTCTCGATTTCTTTTCCAATCATCTCGGGAATGAATTTTTGAACCAATCCCTTCAGATCACAAGATGTTGCCTGGGTAGTCATGATCTCCCTCATCTTTCTGCGTATCTGCAAAATAATAACTTACTTCACTCAGTCATTATGGTATTGGTGTATTTGTGTAAAGCACACATGATCAAGCAGACCTTTGACCCTCTAACAAGTACTAAATGCTTTGCAGTAAATCAGGGTGGATTACCTGTCTAATCTGGCTGGACTGTGCGTAACAAGTCCTTTTAACCTGGTTAGGTCGTCTCTTTGTAAATCCAATGCAGAACATTCTCAGAGTGTAGTTGTCAGTTGTTTTCACATCCACATGAGCTTCGATCAGTGTTTGCCATTTACGCACCAAAGACCTCAATTTGTCAGTGGTAAAGTTCATTCCCTGAAAATTTGAAGCGGCAAACAAATCAAAACTTTTAATTTCTACTGCTGGAACAGCCAGGATAATGAAGTGAACAAGGATATGTATATTTACATACCCAGAAGTTGGTCAAAACATTTTTTCCTTGAACATCTTCAGCTCTCAAACGGATCTTCCTGTAAGCATGATCCTCATCACCACCTTGAAGATCAGCTAGTGAAACCTCAAACACACGGTGTTTGAGTCCTTCTGAAGCAATCTGTCAACATAATAGCCAAATACAAGGTTCAAACCACTTACACACTTTGAAATCAAACAATAGCTAAATGTTAACTGAATGTACAAAGCGGGTCCACGTTCATTATGCTTTTAAGTATATGCAAATTTATATATCAATAACAACACCCATAGCCACAGCATATTAAAGGTGCTCACTTAAGTGGCTAAATAACTAAAGCTGACTAAAATCAAAACATGCAAGACAATAAATATCAGGAAACAGGTTCATAAAACAAACAAACAATAAACAACCAAAAATAACATCAGGGTCATATAAAACAACCTGCAATATATGCATAGCTCGGCTCAAAATTGCAATTCCCAATTAATATATAACATTAAACTTCTGTATCTCTTCTTGTAAAAGCTAAAAAGGGTCCAAACTTAAGCTAGATAAAGCAATTACAAAGAATCTGAGAGATTCACAGTATCCTCTAATGTTCAAAACATCCAAAAATCAAACATTCAATAAAAATCAAACATTTTCAATAGATAACGAAATACAAAATGAAAATAAAAAAGCAAACCTTGGTACCCTGAGTACGGGTGACGAGTGTTTTTCCCACGTTTCTGGTAGTGAAAACTGATGGAGCCTTGATATCATACCAATCCTTCTTGGCAAAAGGATCCGCCCTAAAGAAAACCCAACAACAGAAATCAGCATTCAACCAACAGATCTGCTTCTAAAATATACCTAAAGACTTAATTAAAGCTAAATTCGATTGAAAAGGAAAGCACAACTCACGCCTTTTTCTTTCCTCCCTTCTTCCCCTTGGAAATCCTCTTGTTCTTCCTGCATTATAGAACAAAGAGATAACCCAGAAAACAGATCAGATTTTAAAAGATTAAGCAAAACCCATTTGAAGAATGAGTGAGAAATAAAGAGAAAGAAATGAGTACCCGACGGCCATGCTTCAAACTTGGCTTGCTAGCAATTAGCTACGAAGGGCAGAGCAGTCGGCACCTCGTTGTAAGTGTAATAGTCGAGAGAGAGACAAAAACCCTAATTCTAGTTGTTTATATAGGAATGCTCTCCTGGACTGTACTTGTTTTTAGGGTTAATTCTATCAACTCACCCTAAACTATAGCATGGCCTTTTAATCTGGTCCTGAATTTCAAAATGTTTTAAAAGGTGGTATCTTTTTATGTCTGATTTGTAGTTTATATTTAGGATAAGCATGGATTGGGTCAAGTTGAACTTTTAATTCATTTATACCTGACTTGAATATTATATCTTTTACACATCATCTAATCTAATATGAGATTAAATAAATTTTATTCGTCTGAAATTCAATAGGATAAACTAATATTCAACCCGAAATAATATTAAATATATGAATATATTTTTTATTTAATAAAATATGGATATAATTAGAACAGTATATTATATATATATAATTATTTTTGAACATGTAAGAGATAATTACAATCTTCAAGAGTCAAAGTGAGGTCACCAAGGGCACCTCAGTCGAGGCTGGAGTCGATCGAGAGGCAACCGAGCAGCGGGCGAAGGGCGTCGATGGAAGGTGGAAATCATGTCCCGAAGGCGGTAAGGATGAATTAACCATCTTCAAACGTCGGAGCCATTGCCCATTGGTGAAAACTACAGGCATCCTTGGAGACAGTGAGTGTGGCTCCACCAGTACAGTGCTTACAATACTTTAAGACTTTCGCCCCCTAAGAATTTAATGCAACTAACAGACATTAACCAGACTTTCCCATTTTCCACTCGTGAAACGACAGATGCCGCTGAGAAAAATCCAGCTTTGAAACTTGGAAACTCCCAAGTCCCAACCACCAACGACCCAATTTAACCCCAAAGTCCACTCCACGTAAACACGTTCCACGACTCAGATCAGTCCTTTAAACACACACGCCCGGCAGTTTTTCAAACTCTTGAAAGTTCCACTCATGGCTTCTCTCAACTCCCTTACCTTCCTCGCCATATTCCTTGCTATGCACCTCAACATTGCTAAAACCGACTTTTTATCCTCTCTTTTGCAACCCATCTTTGGTTTGTGACTTCCCATTTTCTTCATCTTTCGTTGTTGGTTGATTTGTTTTGGGATCTTTGGGTGTTCTGTAAACCTGGGTATTTGTTCTTGTTGCAGATGATGTATGCAAAGAAGTGGGATGTGGAAAAGGAAAATGCAAGCCTTCTTCAAATGGAACACTCCCATATTATATCTGTGAATGTGATGCTGGCTGGAAACAAACTGCTGCTGACCAAGATGATGATTATCCCAAGTTCAATTTTTTTTTCGTGTTTAATTGTTCTCTCTTTCAATTCATACAATTATTCTGTCTATTGGTTATGGTTTCTCTATGTGTATATATCACGAAATCCTCTCTGAACTTGGCCTTAATTTGATGTTGTGCAAGGGAAATCTTGATAGTTCATTATCTTAACTAGCTTTACTGCTATGGAAACATGCTAATCACAAGGTTGTGCACCAAACACCGGTCTATATGTGATTTTAATGTCCCTAATCTGAAGAAAGAACTGCTAATTGAGTTTGAATTTTGTGGACTTGAAGGTGCAATAGGGATGGATTGTGCAAACCTTGGGATCTCCATGTCAAACAGGTCTACTTCTGAAACACCGGCATCGTCCGGAAACGATGCGAATCGAGGTAAAAGCCAGACAGATAGAACCCTTCATTCTTCTTGAAATACCTGTATAGAACATGTTTACTGTTGTACCATGAATGAAAAATAACAGCATTTTTTTTTCAGCCGGCTCGAAGTTGTTGGGAAAGTGTCATTGGGTGATAATGTTGGTGTTGTTGTTGGCTATGGTTGTTTGATGTGCATATATATAAAACTTCTTGCTTTCATAAATTTTTGTTTTTCTTTTTCCCGATTGATCTTGTCGTCATTCTTCTTATTGATGAATGCTTAGTTTTTTCTAGACATATTTACTTTCGTTGAATTTGATTTGTAAAGTGTATGTTCATTCTAAATTAATTGAGAGAAAACTCAGTCCCTGTTCTTTTGTCCCAAAAGCTCCCCCCACCCCAAAAAAGAGTGGAGAAGCCCATCGTTGAACCATGGAGGCCGAAACCGGTGCCATCACCGTTCCGGCCACCCGAGGTACATGAACCAATGAAGTTCTTGTCACGTTCATGGAGTGTTTCGGCGAAGTTTCAAAAGCTCTCTCTAAGTCATCTTCCCAAAGTACAAATTTACCTTTTTCATCTGTGAATGTGATGCTGTGGAAACACGTGCCCATATCATAATGCTCAGCTACATGCTGCTATTTCAGTTGCCGGGGTTGCTGCAGCCGTAGCAGCCATTGCGGCTGAGATGGTCGCATCCTCCGGGAATGACAAGCCGATGGCAAAGATGGATATGGTCGTGGCATCAGCCGCCACCCTCGTTGCTGCACAGTGTGTGGAGGCTGCCGAAGCCATGGGTGCCGAACGTGAACATTTGGCCTCTGTAATCAGCTTTGTTGTCAATGTTCGGACCGCCGAAGATATAATAACCTTAAATGCCGGAGCCGCCACATGTATGTAAAAGATCAACCATAATCCAACATATACAACACAACGAAACGAAGTGTGTTAATTGTTTTGAATATATTTCTGGGTTTCATTTTTAGCATTACGAGGGGCAGCCATATTGAAGGCAAGAGCATTGGCGGAAGTATGGAACATAGCAGTTGTTATTCCCATGGATAAAGGTGGCAGTAATGGTAGCTCTAACGGCGGCTTTAACGGCGAGCTTCTTCCCGAAGAGAGTTTCTTAGGGTTCTGCAGTAGAGAACTGCTTGCTAAAGGCTGTGAGCTTCTCAAACGCTCAATAACAGGTCATTTCATCCATGCATTCCGTGTTATTGGTGATCTCCATTGGAAGATCGTCTCTGTTTATACAAATAGAATGAATCAGGTATTATGACTAATACATATTCGTATCCATCACTTACACGATTTTGAGTCTCGATAAATATGTATTCATATCGTGTTTCACATATGATTAGGTGATATTGAAGACGAAGAGTAGACATATTGCTGGGAGCCTGGGACCATTACAAAAAAGAAAAAGAGTATGGTGGTGTTTGTTTTTACACGGTCCAAAACTTTTATGTTTGCGTCGCGCAGACATGCGTAAACATTAGATTATACAGACCGTTTATTTTTTAGAAGACAGAAGCTCTTCTAACGCGCATGGTCTACGCGGCGCAGATGTGGTCTTATATCTGCAGACGTCTTCTAACCTCTTCAAATAGGTTTTATATTTAATTTTATATTATATTTGATTTTAATTTTAATATTAGTTTTTTAAATAAATTAAATATTAGTTTTTTAAATAATTTGATTTTTTGATAATTAAGATTTTAAAATATAAAAAATTATAAATTATGATTTTAAAATTTTAAAATATAATCACAATTAAATAAAAAATAATCATAAAATAATTTGATAAATTTAAAAATATTTTCTAAAAATATCATATAATTATAAAAATAAATTATGAATATATATTTAAAAAAAAATTAAAAGTATTACATAATTGCATATTTAAAAAAAATAATATAATTTAATGATCATTTATAAATTTTATTCTATAAAACTTATAAAACTAATAAGACATGTGATTATGTGAGACTTATAATAAAATTAATAATGTGGTGTTTATTTTTCTAAAAAATTTATTATTGTAGTTGTATGAATTATTTAAATTTTAGTATTGTAAAATTAAAATTATTTAAATATCAGAATTACAAAACTCTTTTAAGTTTTAAAAATCAATTTATTTATATTTCAGTTTATTTTAACAGTCTGCAAACATTAAAAAATAAATAGTCTTCTCTTACAGACTGTTAATTTTTTATTCACCTCTTCTACTGATGTCTACATATATGATCCGCATACTAAAAATCTTTTACATCATGTCACTAATGCAGAGTTCAATGTGGGGTCTTTGTTCCATTAGGGGATTTGAGAAAAGCTGTGTCACTAAAGTGAAAACAAAAAGATGAAAAATAATTTCCATGTAATTTTAAATCATTAATCTTCTTTACGTTGAAAATTTCTGTAGATGTGATCATTGGAAGCTATTAAAGATATGCAGGGGATGGCCGGGCCGTCACTTGCTCGAGGGCGGAGAGAACCGGAGATACTTCGCGCTGAAGACGGTGATGTGCGGTGTTGTGGAGTTTGAGCGCAAGAACCAGAGAGAGCATGATGTTTAGACTCGGTGTGTCGAGGCTGCTACCTGCTAGTGTTCTCCATAGCTGCAAAGAAGAACAATAGATGTAGAGTTTGAACATGAAATTTGTAAGTATTTGGGAGGTAAGAAAATAAACTCGTGAGTTTCGCTATCGTCACTTGAGAAAAGAAACTCTTCTAATCTCTACTGCCATCCCTAGTCTATCATCGTTATTTATTCAAGAGTATGACGTTGGGTTAGGGTGTTTTAAGAATAAATAGTTACCAGAAATGGCTTTGAGATCATAATTCGAGTAGAAAACTTCCTCAAAGATTTGTTGCCCATGATGTTTCCGATTGTTGTTCTCAAAATCCGATTGTTTCAAAAGTCTTTAGGCCACTTCTGTCATGTCTAAAGTCTTGGCCTTGTAATCCATATCCGCCAAAAGCTCATTCATTCTGTAGTCTTGTTGGGCGACTTCTTCTTCTCCCAATGCTTCGCTTTCCAGTCGAAAAGCCACCGCTGAGGAAGGAGGATGGGTTTGGGTTGGGCTACATATGATTGTTGTATCTCTTCATGGTTGATTAATTTCTGTAACTTTAGGTTGTGAATGGTATCTATGGATTTGAGTGACGATTACTAAAAAACCAAAGAAAAAGATGAACGGGTGAAGAATCTAAGCATTGAGTTTGAAACAAGTTGAGATTGCAATCTTTGCATTGATGGGTTACAGAAAAACCCAAACTTGAAGCTAAGTCTTGGAGTTTTGGTGTCATTACTTTGTTGCTGCTGTCGTTATTTTTTTTTGGTGTCATTAGATTGTGTTATCATAAGCTCAATCTTCTCATCGTTTGTTGAATACGATTGATTTTAGTTTCCGTCTCTTCTCAATTGGTGTAAGGTTAATATCGATGATTTCCGAAAAATAGGTGACGAATTTACTACATGTGAAGGTGTTATTAGATCTTCAAATGATGATTGGATGTTTGAATTTTTTAAAGCGATTGAAATTTGTTCTATTGTTAAAACGGAATTGTGGGGTATTCATGAAGGACTTTCTCATGCTTAAATCTTGAGGAGAGACAAGTAATGGTGGAAATTGATTGTTTAGAGATTGTTCGAATGCTACAAAAAAATTATAAAAAAAATTCAATCATCAAGCTCCTAGATTATGTTAAGGGGTTGTTACATCGGGATTAGAATGTGGTTTTGAAACATATTTACTGTACTACAAATAAGGTGGTGAAACTTTAACGAAGTTAGCTACAACGAGAGGTGAAGTTCACATGATTTTCACTATTCCGCTAATAAAAATCGTCAACTTGGTACAACAAGAAGTTATCGGTTGTGTTTTGACAACATAGTTTTAGCTCATGTAACTTCTTCATCTTTATTTCATAAAAAAAATAATTGAAATGTAGAAAATTTTTTTCCAACACTCACATAAAAATGATTTGTGAATAAAAAAAAGATTAGATCACTTCACTGCTTTATGTAGAGTTTTGAAATTTCAATTTTAATATTTAAATTATTAGTTTCGATCAAATAATTTTAAATTAATAAATCATATTTTATCATTCTTTCAATTCCATAAAATTAAATTCATATAAAATATATGTTATATATATTAAATAAAAAATTATATAAGTAGAGGGTCGTCCAGCAACATCCTTACTATTGCTGTCAAATCAAACATCACATCACAACCAAATATGATGTGAAGACTGATAGATTGCTGAAGGAGATATGGCCAAACTGACTTTACATACTCTCCCTTAGGATTTCAATTTATATATCACCAAAAAGACCCCTCAATCATTTCTTTTTTCATATTATCGTCCTGTTTTCATTACCCAATCTATGAAATATTCAATTGTTCTCTTTTTTCTTCTTACAAATGATATTTTCATATAGGGTAAACTATACCTATGACCATTTAACTATTATTCCTTTTTATTTTGACCATCGATTTTTTTAATTTCTACTTTTCTGTCATTAATTGGAATAATTAATATATATATATATATCTTGTAATACACTACCCGATGAAGGACTTGGCCTAGTAGTTCTAATCCAACCAGCGCCATTCTCTCCGATTTATTGGAGGAAAAGTTTTGATTAACAAAATTAGAAAATTGATGGTTAAAATGAAAATAAATAATAGAAATGTATATAACTTTGAAAGAAATAATAGTTAAATGACCAAAATAGAAATTAAATAATAGGTAATTGAGCAAATGGACAATTCATCCTAATAAAAATGGCTATAACTAGATGAAATTATTGTTTTATTTATCACGTGAATGATATTGAAATTAATTGTTTTAAATATTTTTTAAAAGTATATATTATAGTGAAACTATCATAATGGCCCATATCAAAGGTAATGTAAATCTAAGGGTTTAATAAAACAAAATTATACTCTTTTTTTAAGTTTATTTGTTCAATTAATAAAAATTTATTTATTTTATCAATATACGTTTATTACTAGATAATAAGCGTTCAAATTTTTTTTAATTAATTAACAATGAATGCAGACAAAATACATATGCTCGAACTCGAAATATTTATAAAAAAACTAATACTCTTTTTTATCACTAAGATCGCTTATAGATCGGATAAGTAAAGATTTTATGAAAGTTTATTGTTAAAAAATAAATATTTATGAAACTATATATACTACTTCAAAATGCTAACACTCGTGTCACGTGTCAAAATTAAGCTTGGTGACATTTGCAGCTTCTGCCTTTTCTTCGAACCATTGCACCAACTAATTAATCACATGATCTATGTTAATATAACGATCGCACCAATTTCATGAAAATATGTTTGTTTCCCGTTACTTGCATCTCATTTTCTTATTAATAAGACGATGATATTAGTTTATTAAAGAATAATATGCAGTGCTTAAATAGTAACGCATAAGACACATGCTAACAAGATAACCACAATTAACGATTCAATATTTTTTTTTTGAATTAATCATTTATATCTGATCTATTGACCGACTAATCCAGATCGAATACTACAGAGGCGAGAGCGACCTTCCCAACCCAATTTGCTCCATTAATCTGACATCTAACAGTTTCAATTCATCAAACGAACACCTTTTAACATCGCTTCCACCAACCAATAATAACATCGTTTGACTCATATTTTCTTCCTCTACAAATATTTCAATTTAGTTTCTCGCATAAGTTCCACAGAAGCCTAAAATTTCACCCAAACTTTTGGTGGCCTTATCCTTCGATCTCATCATTCAACTTTTAGATCAAAAATGTATTAAGATATATTGTTCTCCCTCAACGACGTCCACCTTTTTGTCGTTGAGATTCTTCATCCGACCACTAGAGCATTGAGGACGGAAATGATATTTATGATTGAAAATGGGTATTATGGTTTACGAGTTGATTGATATTTATGGGTGAAACAAGTGTCGAATACAAACTCATTGGATCGAAATAGTCCAATTTAAAATTTATGGGTCTAATGGTTGTCGACAACAGTGGTTAACGCAATGACCAATCCAAAAAATTAATAAAATATGTCAAGCCTGTACACAATTAGATAGATAAACGATAGAGTGACTAAAATAATAGTAATTCAAAACTTTGATGATTATATTAAAAACTTATAAACTTTAATGTTCCAAATAGAGATTAGAAGAAAGTTGAGTGATAAGTTATATTATTTATCCTATATAATTTGCACCAAAAAGGTTAAAAAATATGCGTTCACGTGCAATTTGACGTGACCCATATTCATCATATTTTGGGAATAGCTCTATCAAAATTCCACGTAACTGTGTATATCATTTGGTACTATCTACTGTAAAACTGTATATTGTCAGTAAATTATTTGAAATTTGATAGAGATAAATTAACTTAAACACAGTAATAAATTTAATCTTACTTATATATTTTTATTAATTTTAAATATATATTCATTTACATTTAATATTTAATATTTTAAAGAGTTCAATTTAACTATTAATTTTTCAAAAAGAGTTTTTCATTATTTTTTTAATGAAAAGATAAAGTAAAACATTAAATTATTAATATAATATTTTTTATTAAATTAATATAAATTCTTACATGGTAGTATATATGCCCTGCTCTTTCTGATTTTTTTGTGTAATGTCTTCGACTCGGGACATTCATGCAAAACCAAAAAAGAAACCTTCAATAATAGCACTCTTTTGAGCTAAGTTTGATAACCTTCTCCGGCAGCTCCTCCACGGCATGGGCGTATCCCCCCACCGCTACTGCCGCCGTCGCCGCCTCCACCACCACATCGTAGCTGTCTTAACCTTTCTCTTATTTGCTTCCGCTTCAGTCAGAACTCTTTCTCAACTCGGTAACTTCTTTAAAATTCCTTTTCAACTCGAATACTCATATAGTACGATATAGCCATTGACTCGGTCCAAACTCAGTAGTCAGTACAGTTTTGTGCTTACATGTGCAGAAAGCGGGTTCCGGGAGAGAGAAGGGAGCAAGAAGAGATGTGGGTCGGGGGTGGTGGACCGGTTCTTGTCTCAGAAAAAACTCATTGGCCTGGGTTCTCAACCACCTTCTTGTAGATCCAACTGTGGGAGTTGCTCGCCATGTAAACCGGTTCACATCCCGATTCAACCTGGCTTGATGATGCCGCTCCAGTACTACCCTGAAGCGTGGCGTTGCAGGTGTGGCAACAAGATTTTCATGCCCTAAAAACAAATGACCACGTGATAATAATACACTGAAATCTATGACTTGTTTTTCTTCTCAGCAAATAAACAAAAGCTGTTTTGGTTAACTTACATCGTTGGTTGTTTTTCTATGTTAATTATAATGGAAGACTACCAAGAGGGGCGTCTCGTCTCTCTTTGCTTTCTACTTCTTTCTTAAATTTCTACTTCTTTCATACAAACATCAGATTCGTGTTTAGAAGGGCAAAGCAAGTTTGGTGTGGAATTCTGGGACTCATCGACCTCTAGCAATGGTGGTCGGTGGTGGTCAGAACGACGATCAACACAGTGATCAAAATCTGAGTTTTGGTTCAAGTTGAGGGAGATAAAAAGAGATGAAGAATAAGAAAGAAATAAAGAAGAAAATAAGATAAAAGGAAAAAAGTTTTTATATGGGTCTAAAAAGATGTTATTTTGTCTAAATTTATTTTTGTATGAATCCAAAATGACGTCATTTTATTTTTAAATTTTCATATCACAACATTTTTAAATATTAACTTAAATAAAAATAAAAATAAGTGTTCAAACTTTACATATTTTCTTATTTATGTGCTTAAACTTATTTTTTTATCAATCTAAGTGTTTAACGTTACAAATGTTATCATTTTAAGTATATCGACCGTAACGATCATTAAAAAGTTTCATTAATGACACATGTCACATTTATATAATTTTTTAAAAATTAAAAATATTATTTAGAAAATCATAAAAAAATTAAAATCTAAAAAAAAAACCTCAAATCCTTAAATCTTTAATTCCAAATCCCCGTTACCGTCACCGGCCATCTCCAAGCACCATCACCAAACAGTTACCTACCGGTCGCCATCCACTCACTGATCTCTAATTTTAAACTCTAAATACTTATCCCTTACCCTGCTTGTCGTGGACCCGTCGCTCATTACCTGCCTTTTCTCCTTTGTAAATTAAAACCAACCCTACCCTGTTCATTACCCATGCAAATCAAAAGGATTCGTTTGTTTGCAGCGACATAAGAGGAGATGCAATTCCTGGGCGTTCACGCATGGACGACGAAGAATTAGGGTATTACATTTTTTATAAAAAAGTTTTCATTTAAAAAAATATAAATGTAATACATGTCACTTAACGGAATTTTTTAACGACCGTTACGGCCAAGATATTTAAAATGATAACATTTGCAATGTTAGACATTTGGATTGATTGGAAAAAAATATAGTTTAAGCATTTTTATATTAAGCCTTAATTATTTAAAAAAATATTAAAATAAAATCAATTTGAAAGTTAAATAATTAAATTATTTTAAAAAATATTGATAAAAATAGAAGTGATAAGAATGATGAGTGATGAAAAATTAATTTACCTAATTATATATGCACCCAATTATGTATGCATTATTGTGATGAAATTATTATTTAAATAATAAAATTAATTTTTAAGTTAAAAATAATATTTTAAGGTTATAAATTTACTATTGTAAATTACCTAGCTTTAACGGAAACGATGAGTCTCCCAAATTTGAGTTTTCTAACTTAAGTTTCATCTTCTAATTTGTTATAAATTATTCTTATTGAATTTGTATAACATTTCGTAAATAAAATATTAAAATCATATTATTTTAAAACTACATAAATAAATATATTTATATCAAACATGGTATGTATTCCACTCTCACTCTTTAAATCCAAGAAGACAACTAATGAATGCCAATCGACAGTACGTATTCACATTATTTGTGAATAATTGATTTTATGTGTGTCAGTGTGTGGATTTTACGGATTAAAAAAATATTTATATTCAAATATTTTAATTACTATTTATAATGAATTTAAATATTAATATTTAAATATTTATTAATTAAAATTTTGTTTTATTTTTAAGAATAACATATTCAATGTCTGAATATTAAAATTGTAATAACCAAAAGTATATAGGCATGAATCCAGGTTTGGTTCCATATCTGAAGTAGGTTTCAGGCACCCATGACCATGAGATGGGCATGTTAAGAACAGTGTCCTTATTAAAGGCACAGGCACCTACACTGTATTTCCTTGGGTGTAGAAACCAGAAAGGGACACTTCAGATAATTGGGTACATTTCTTTTTTGGTTAAACTGCACGTTTAGTATCTAAATTATCTAAATTATTTTGTTTGAGTATTTAAATTTTCAGTTGTCTTAAAATTACACTTAGCGTTTACTTTTTGTTTCATTTTAGTATATTGATGTTAAAAACTTAAAGGAATTGTTGCGTGACATTTTTATGAGTAAATTACATCAAAAACCTAAAGGAACTACTGCGTGACATTTTTATAGGTAAATTACATCATTTAACTATCTTCTCACTCCTATTTTGGTCATTAAAGTTCATAAATTTTCAATTTAACTAATCAACTTTCAAATTGCTCATATTTTAATCACTCTATTTTATTCTATTAATAAATTTTTGACATAAATTTTTTTATTTTATTAATATATAAGTAAAATAAAAAAATAAATTTGAAAGGTAAAGTGATTAAATTATGAGAAATTTGAAAGTTAAGTAATTAAATTAAAAATAATTAAACTTCAATGACCAAAATATGAGTGAAAAGATAATTGATTGATGAATGATATAATTTATCCATAAAAGTGTCATAAAAGTGTCAAGTTAAAACAGTTCTGCTAAGTTTTTAATGGCGATATATCAAAATGAAATAAAAAGTAAAATTTAATATGATTTGAGACAAATGAAAGTTTAGGTACTAAAATGAAATAAAAATAATAATATAAATACTAAACATATAGTTTACCATTCTTTCATTCGTTATTTTAAATCATGAAAACATTTTCTAAAGGTATATATATTTTAATTTGATATATAATTTCTTTAAGATCCAATAATTTCAATTTGATTTATTGGATCAAATAATATATAACCTTTAGTTTTTAGTTTAGTTATTAATTTTAATCATTTTGAATTGATTTATAACCCCTAGATCCGGACTATGCGTTACGACCAGATCTAGTGAATTACAGTAAAAAAAATTAAATCATTTTTTAATAACTTAAAATCATATTTCGAATAAACATCATTAAAAAAGAGTTGACATCATTAAAATTCAAGTCCAATAACTTAAAGTAGTAAAAATTGAATAAAATAAAATATTTCAAAATCAATATCGAAGTAATTATAACATCAGTAACAATAACAATATACGTCATAAAACAAGTATCTTCAAAATATTGGCAAATGTAACCTAGAATAAATTCAACTCGAAAGATAAAAATATAACAACAAAAGTACTGTACGAATGTGTTGATCCTCTAAGTGTCAGGTCAGGGTCGCCTTGTAACACCCCAACCCGCACCCGACCCGGATACGAGTATGAGATGTCACATTAACTTTTAAAAATGATATTCTTACAAAATATCAAAACATTTGAACTCATTTTAAGAAAATACGATCATATATTATTGAATTATATTTCATTATAAAAATTCAAGTCAAAAACGTATTTATGAACAAAACTATACGTTATGAATAATACCGTGAACAGTAATGAACAGTGCCGTGAACAGTACAGAATGTTAAAAAAATTTCAGATTGCTTCAGGGGTATCGGTACCCGCTCTGCTACAATACTACTATAGTAACTTCCGACAAAAACATATAAAGCTCACAAAATACTTAAACTTCCATAACTATACATTTACCATTTAAATAAATACGTTTAAAACATTACAAAACTCGATCAGAACATATCATATTCAAATCTTTTATATTACATGCCAACTAAATTCTATGTAACAAAATACATGTAATTCAACTACATTTCTGATCTGATCTTCGGTAAGGAGAACTGATATGTCTTGTTCCTCTTTACTTCTCTTTTTCGCTTTCCACCCCTACGTGTGAAACAATCACACGATAAGTCAATGATTTAATGAGACATATAAAAACATAATTATATGCTAACTGTAACTTCTACAATGCATGAACATTTGATATTACTTTATCATGCCAAAACATATATTATTCTCTGTAACATATACATACATGCACATATCATGTAACATAACATCATTATCATGTTTATCATTTCTCATTTTATCATCATCAATTTCTTTTTATACCATATCAACACATAATATAAACTCTAAGTCACACTAATGCATAAACGATTTCCAATCTCATATAACAAATACTTTTCACTTAGGAATACACACAGTATCACATATAAATCTTATAAATATTTTTGGTATCTTTTGTAGGCCCATGTACATTATTGAGAACTCAAAGTATTCAAGTACATTGAGGTTGTGCACTATTGCTGTCACCACAGCTCGTATAAGTCCCACTGAGTGGCATATGAAATTTGTCCCGAATGACCTATGTAACTGTTCATATGTTCCAAAGAACATAGGCAAACTATAACTGTCCATATGTCCCAAAAGACATAGGTAAACCCTCGACTCTTGGCATGCCAACTATACCATTAGCTCTCATATCATATAACATGGGCATTATCATTTATACATTTCATATAACTTGTTCTTTCTCTTCTGTCACATACCACATGTATGTGTAACCGTATATCTCATATCATATCACATGTATCACAGTGCATGTATTCACGTAGTTTACTTTCATGTAATTCATATCATTTTTCATATGATTTCATATTCGTATGCCACATAGCTCATATCACTTTGCATAGTTTCATATAAACATATATATCATATATTGTTCACATATATTTCCCATATAACTCATATTATTTGATTCATGTCTTATTTTTATATCATTATATATATATATATATATATATATATCATCTATGTTCATTAACTTAATCACTTATCTCATGTCAAACATAGCTCATATATAATGATGCATAAAACATGTAATCATGTAGGTCATGTCACATAAGAATCACAAATCATTTAATATTTTAGGAGTCACTTCTTACCATAGTAACTCCGTCACTAGCTCATCGCAATCCAATGTTTGTTCAATATCATAAGTACAATTAAAATTACACTCACCTTAGCCTTGTTTTGATTCGATCCTAATTCTTTGATTGTTCCGGAACTTGTTTAGGCTTAATATCTACATAAACATAAATTCCAAGACGATTATCAAAAGCATAAACCTTATAACTTGATGTTAATAACTTAAGCTAGTTTAATGAACCAAAATTTCATTTTTCCTTTAAGGGGTATCGATATCTTCCCCTAGGGTATCGGTACCACTATTGAAATCTGTAAATTTTTGCCCATAAATCACTGTTCAAATACGAAAATTCACTATTTTCAGCTTCCATACTTTATGTTTCATTCCCTTTCATATTATTAACTCAAATACACATACTTAAACCAATTTATATTCATTTATCTCGTCTTAAACCTCAAAATCTTCTCCTCTTTATGAACTTCAAGAATCATACCCAATTTTCAACATGTTTCAAATCCAATTCTAACACTTAATACTTCTTAATTAAGTCGATGACAAGTCAAATTTAACTTCAAATTCAACTTATCAAGTCTATTTCAAGATTTCACTCAAGAACTCCAAATCTTTAATCTTTCCTAACTCCTTTATCTTTTGATTTTAAGATAGCTTAATATTTCCTTAAGTTTAGTTATCATCTAATGATCAAAACCCAAACTTTAAATCAACAAAATAGAAAACTCACATTTGCTCTAGCTTGGCACACAGGAAGAAGAAGAAAGCAAGAGGAAGAAGATAACTCTCTTCCCCCCATGTGATTCATTCATATAAAGGGAAAAAATATATTTCTTGTCAAATGACCATTTTGCCCTTTAATTCATTTGATAATTACTAACAACTTTCAAAAAATATTTCCAAATAAATCGTTGAACTATTCAACTATTATACTTTAATCATCAAATTCTGAAATTTTATAGTTTGGTCACTAACCCGGTATTGAGGATGTTACACGCCTATCCAAAAAGCATCTGGAAGAGAAAAGAGTTTTGGGGAGTGAGCTAGGGAGCTCAGTGTGTTCCAACAATACAAAAATAACACATATAGTTAAGATTTCAAAATCAGTTCGTCATTAAAATCATAAAACGTCGGTAAAGTTTTAGTTGAAAAATACATAATCGCCCTCAAACCGAACACCATGTGCAATTCCTCATAACTGCATCCATAAGGACTTACCTTATATCCATTAGGTATAAGAGTCAACCTAAGGGAGCATCTTGGGGCTTGAGATATACCCAATAAAATTCTCGGGGCCTCAGAGCCTACCCAATGGACGCCTTAGGTTTGTAAGGAATTATTAGCTCGATCGGTCTAAACCTACAAAGACTTCATATTAAATCTCATAGTACCCCGAAGAAAAACATTTTTCAGACAATAACTAATATTAGCACGAAAATCAAAGTTCAACATATATTAATTCAGTAAAAATGGTAACCAAAGATCATGAATCAGGCAACCAGGTTTAAAACTTTAGTAAACCATAAATCAAGCTTGAAACAGATAAATCATGAAAAATTAAATCATATCAGTTAGACATATTGTAAATCAGACAAAACAGTTATATGCACATGATATTTCAAACATGTATTTAAAACAATTATTTATATGGCACACAAAGAACACACCTCGAAAAAATGAATCAGTCTGGGAGATCTATCGAGCACCAGTTTCACTATGCTCTTTTGTTGTACGCAAACGAATATTCTCGAGATTGTGATGACGGACAAATCGGAAGGAATCGGGCCGAGCAAACGAACGATAGAGAGATCCACAAGTATCCACGTTGGCGACTAGAAAAACAGCGACGACGACTCAACCCACCGGTCGGGTGGGGAGTTCAACGACGTCAACGGTGAGGCGAGGCGACCAGATTTTACAATTAACTGACCAGGGGGGGTTTCGACCGAGCTTATTCGACAACTCCACGAAAAATGGCGGCTCCTTTCAATGAATTTACAGAGGGATTTTGGATGCGGGGGGACGCCAGTCACGCCGGAAGGGTCGGCAAATGCACGGGTGGCTGGAACGGGGTGGTTCAACGGGCAGCTTTTGGACCGAAGGGGGGTTTGCCTTTGGTTTCTCGATTACGGGGGAATATGAAATGGGTTAACACCCATTATATTAAAAATAAATACAAAAATTTACTTTTTTAATAAAAAAATAGTAGCCTATCGTGATGGCTAGGGTATGTGCAGGGTCATGGGTTCAAGCACCCAACTGCCCTATTTCATTTTTTTTATTTTTCAACTTACCAGAAAATAGGTTAATTCAAAATTAGGTTCTTGAATTTCCTAGATTTTCAAAACTAGCCTATTTTTTAAAAAAATATACAATTTAGTTTGTATAAACAATTAATTTATATTTTCAATTTTTTAATTGAAAATTAGGGGGTGTGACACGACGACTAGTCAAGTCCAAGTACCGATTCGATCTAAAATATTACATTCAAGTACTTAAATAAATAAAAAAATATTAAATATTAAACTAAGCCTTGAAGTCAACTTATTCGTAAAGTTTAGATGATATAAATTAGTATTGATTATTTAGATTGTCGAATCAAACTCTTCCATTCATAAACCAAAGATTGATGAATGGAAATACAATGAGATAAATGAGTTTTTTGTTTAATGAGATAGGACATGTTCACGCTGGTTGATTGGATATATATTTTTAACATAAATAACGACAAAGACCCACAACGATTACAAAATTATAATTCGAGTACTTGATTCAAACAAAAAATAATATAATACCTAATTTAAAAAAATAATATTGTTTAAACACTTATTGCACAATTATACCATAGATCAATTAATTATACCCGCAATTATAAATTTTTTTTTTAATTTTAAAAAGTTTGTTTGCACGTGTGGTGTGATAAATTTTAGTTATGATATTTCAACATAAATTCTGGATTTCATAATTTATAAAAGAAAACGGAATTACTTCTTTTCCATTTTGGTCCATAAAAAAACGAAAGAGTTCAATTGAAGCCAAAAACGAAGAGATAATTCGGTTTACAAAACAAACTTAAACCACAAAAACAACATGAGAAAACCAGAGGCGACACGTGGGAAATCAACGATCAAGGACGATGTTAAAATCTCACATGGCGGGTAGACTCGATGTCGTCTATAAATACTAAACGAAACTCACTGGACTCGATAACGTTGAATCCCAGTCACCGAGTCCCAAATCCGAGTCAACAACAACATCCATGGCTATCGAGGTAAGTTTCTTCGCTACAACTTTGATTCTAAGTTCAATCGAATTGGTAATTGATTTGATATCGGGTTTTTCTTTTGAAATACAAAAACAGGCTTGGTTTATGGATGAAAGCAAAGAAGATCAGAGGCTTCCTCACAAACGCAATCCCAACGAGCCTGTTTCGTTAGACCACTTGGCAGGTGAGATCTAATCGTTTATTCGGTTATAATTTTCTGGGTTTTGCTTCTTTTTTTCTGGGTGGGGGGGTGGGTGGGTGGGGGTTGAGTTAATGAATATGATGGGTTTTGAATAAATGGCAGAGATTGGAGTGTTGTATTGGAATTTGAACCCCAAGGATTACGAGAACGATGAGGAGTTGAAGAAGATCAGAGAAGCTAGAGGTTACAATTACATGGTAATTTTGCTTCTTTTAGCCCTTTCTTATATACATTTTTAACTTTGTTTAAACAAATTTAGTGTTAATTTTTGAGTTTTTGATCTGATTTTCATTATAACCTGCTTGAGAATTTCTCGATACATTCTGTTTGGTGAAGAAATAAATTAAAAGAAAAAATAAAATCTGTAGTGAATGTGAAGGTTTTCGGATTCAATTAAATTTGAGTTACTGTGTTTGTACACAAATATATATGTAACTAAGATTCAAGAGTTTAACGTTGATAAAGTGAAATTTCTCTCTTCTACCTGTGATTTCTTTTGTTTAGGAATATTCACGTAATTTGTGTTGTCATTTATTGTAACAGTTAATATGTTCAATTATTTTTTGCACTCTTTGCTTTTCCTATGTATGCTTTGCCTAATTTCATGGCCCTTTATGCTCTTAGAATGAATTTTGAATCTGGTTTTTGGGTACAAGAAACCTATGTTATCTTGAACTTTCATTTTTCCTATGTACTTGTGGCCGATCCATGTCTTATTCAGACGTGTATGACAGAAACATACTCATGTTGGACATTTATCTATATCCGACACTAATAACTATGTCCGGATGACGTTGGAGCCTGGAGATAACTCCTGAAGCAAAGCAAACCATTGATATATTGCTTTTCGATCTCAATATTATAGCAGTCACTTTATTTTTGACCTTTACCTATTTGAATCTTGATAGGACACTGTATTTAGAGTGACAACATCCCCTAGACAAGGAATTTTGTTTCTTGTAGTCGATACTATGTCTGATACTAAGTCCAATGCCTATTCGGAAGATACCTGTACGGAATACGAGTACGACCCTCAAAGATCTTCTAAATACATGGACGAACTTATAAAGAAAACCGAAACTGAGTATAAGTAATATAGTTGCCTAGTTTTTTAAATTTGAAGAGGCAGTTAGGGCCTTTGTTTGACAAATTCATGTTTTGCTGTACGTATAGGATTTGCTTGATTTGTGCCCAGAGAAAGTTGCTAACTATGAGGAGAAGCTGAGGAACTTTTACACCGAGCACATACACGCCGATGAAGAGATACGCTACTGCTTGGAAGGCAGCGGATATTTCGATGCCAGGGACAAGGATGACCGATGGGTCCGGATTTGGATCAAAGCAGGTGATCTCATTATATTGCCTGCTGGAATCTATCACAGGTTCACTCTTGACACCAGCAACTATATCAAGGTGAGAAAATGTGTAGAATTGTTTTGGTCAGAATGCAGGGAACTTAATTTTCGAGCGAGTTTTGAATGCCTTGATCAAATTTGTGTTTTTTCTACAATGTGCAGTTAATGAGGTTGTTCGTGGGAGAACCGGTCTGGACAGCATATAATCGGCCGCAAGAGGATCATCCTGCAAGGAAAGAGTACATTAAAAGTTTGACAGAGAAAGTTGAGGTGCCATTAGCTGCTCATTAGAGGTATTTATCATTTGCAGAGTCCATATATGTACATCTCTCTAGTTTCATATGTGTTTCTCAAAGGCTGAACTTGATGTACATGTATGTCAAACATTGAACTCCATCTAAATTATATGTTTAAATGCACCGAATTATCATTTACTCTCACGTAATTTAAACCAGAGTAGATAAGAATTCTTGACCTTTCATTTTGTTTTTCGTTTTTATCATATCTCGGGGGAGTCGATTCACATGATACAATTCAAACAGTTTTAGGATCAAATTTTATCAGATCTTAGTCAACAAATTGACGATAAGCTCAAATAATCATTAATTTTTTTAACTACCAGTCAGAGATTCAACAAAATAATCGTTAATTTTATCGTATTTTAGTCAATAAAATATAATGTTTGATTTGAGATGGTTCAAGAGAGTTCCCCTATTTTGGAGGGTGGGAATCTTGTGGTTCCAATAATGGGGAGACAAGTGGATCCAACACCTTATCTTTATATGATTAAAATAATAATTATTTCAATATCTTAAATTATAATTGAAATAATTGATTAAATTTGCGCTATATTCTTTTAATATTATTTCCTCTATTTCCAATATTGAATATAAAATTTTACTTTTAAAAAAAATCAAATTTTTACTAGTGATTCAATCATAATTGGTAAAAGGAAAATCGTGGAGTCGGCAACTCAACTCAACTTAAATCACTGTTCAAAGGTACTATTTTATAAGTTATTATTTGATCAAGAGATGGTCTGAAATATATTTATATAAAATTTTAATTTTAATTTTAAATCTTAAATTTTAATATTTTGAATTTGTACAATCTCTAAATTACACCACCCCACGAAACCCTAATTTCCAAGCACAACTCATTTTCACCATTATAGTACCAAAGACCAAGAAAGCTTTAGTTTCATCTAAATAAAGTATTTTATGAAATTTAATTATACTCAAAACACGAATGAAAACATTTTATATAAAAATATATTTACAAAACTTTATATTTTATATTTTATATTTTATATTCTAAATTTTATTTTATATAATGGTTCAGTCATAAGAAAATTAAAATTCTCAAAGTTTTTCTTAATAACCTTTTTTTATTGCTTATCTGATTCTCAAGATTTCGTCCTGACTAAATTGACTAATTCGAACCAAACTTGGTCGCACACCTGATTGGTCGCACACCTGATTTTAATTGTTGAATCTCCTAACGAGGATTTTATACATACATAAAGATTCGAACTTGAAACTTACTTAAATAATATCAATCTACTTTCCACTTAAACCGAACCCAGTTGATTAATAACTTTATATATAGTTTTTTTTTCAACTACCATGTTGGTACCATTATATCTAATAATTACTATTTTATAAGATCATACAAAATATCAATTGTCCATTTTTTAAATATGAAATGATTATAAAATTGTATTTATTCATAATTTTTTAATTAATTAATAATAATATATATATAAATATATATATCTTACAAATAACACAAAATTTTAATTACGATACCTTAGCATAAAAAACAAATATTATATATATATATATATATATATATATATATATATATAATAAAGCAAGATCGGTTCAAAGGCAGACAACAGATATAAATTCACTTTGATTAGTGCATATAATATTACTTAAATGCTTAGATATTTTCAAATAAAGTAAGAACTATTTGCTAGATATTTGTTGGGAAACCCCAAACCCTTCTCCTTAACTGTCCTCAAGTGTGCTATCATTTCTCTTAAAATTCAATTCTACAATCTTCTAATATTTTATTAAGTTTAATATATCATTATGCTTGGAAAAAAGATCATTGCATATGAAGTTCTCAAATTAGATCTTTATTTCAAAATGGTCCCTAAATTTAAACATACTTTATATCAATTTTAAATTATAACTTACATTTTAAATTAATTTTTAAATTTTAAAACATTCTATATTAATCCTTATTTGAGATATTATAAATTCGATCAATTACAATATAACATTTTGCAAGGGTAGTTTTTCTCTTCTTTTTTGTCTCAATTTAGCATTTCCTTAATTCTTTACTGTCTTTTTAATTGCCAGAGATGATTACAAGATAATTTCTATCTATAATCTTTTTAATCATTATATATATATCCTACATATACAACTATTCGAATACATGACTTCAAGGGAGAACAACACTCTTTTTAACCATTAATGTCACTCAATGAATTCAATTCTTTTTTAAAAACCGAACCAACAAATAATTGATTTAGTAAAATACTACAGTACTATATCTTATAAACAAGACTAAAATTTTAAATCATGTGAATAGAATAAATCATTGCATTTATTCTATTAAAAAAAAGAAAGAAATGACTTTCTAAAAGGAGTAACCATTGCATTTATTTTCTTACTTTTTTTTGCATCCTCAGCCGGTCTCCCGCCCAACCAAAATCAAAAGATATGATATCTGCAATATATATATATAAAGACGGATAACAATTATTTATATTGGAATCATATTCATTTAACCTAATGACACCCATGTTCATACATCTGTATCTTGTTTCTCAACTTTTCCATGTGTGTTTTCCTTTCTTGTTCTCTTGCGCTTCAAGACCAGTGAGCTTTTAGGATCCATCCATGGCCTGAATCTGCAAATCAACCCCCAGTTTTGAAGGCCTTTCTGACCGTTCTCTTCTTTCTTTGGTTCTGAGGAAAAAGATGAATCCTTATGCAAGAGAAACATATGCTGCTGGTGATTCCATGGCTGCACCTCAACCAATGGAAGGACTCCATGATGCAGGTCCTCCTCCTTTTCTCACAAAAACATATGAAATCGTAGATGATTCAAGCACCAATCAGATCATCTCTTGGAGTAGAGGAAACAACAGCTTCATTGTGTGGGATCCCCAAGCATTTTCCATGACCCTTTTGCCTAGATACTTCAAGCACAGCAACTTCTCAAGCTTTGTCAGGCAGCTCAATACCTATGTAAGTAACAAATTAATAATAGATTAGTGTTTATGTATTTGAAGATGTGATTCAAATTAGTGTTTTTGTGTAGGGGTTTAGGAAGGTTGATCCAGATAGATGGGAGTTTGCTAATGAAAGTTTCCTTAGAGGGCAAAGGCATTTGCTCAAGTGTATCACGAGGAGAAAAACGCAGCAACTCCTGTTAGATCCTTGTGTTGAAGTTGGGAGGTTTGGGTTTGAAGGAGAGATCGATAGTTTAAAGCGTGACAAGCAGGTTTTAATGGCGGAATTAGTGAAACTCAGACAACAACAGCACAAAACCAGGACTTGTTTGCAGGTAATGGAAGAAAAGCTGAAGAGAACCGAGATGAAACAGCAACAGATGATGGGTTTTTTAGCCAAAGCAATGAAGAATCCCAGCTTTGTTCAGCAACTGATACATCAGAAAGATAAGAGAAAAGAGCTTGAAGAAGCTATCTGCACAAAAAGAAGGCGACGGATCGATAACCAGAGGCACAAAAGTGCTAAACCAGCTGATGTGTATGATGATATAAATATTGGTAGATTTGAAGTTTCAGAATTTGATCAAATTGCAACGGACTTGCAACCGGTTTTGGAACATGTAGAGGGGATTAATGAAGAACATGGAAGCTATAATGATGAAGATAAAAGAATTGGTGAAGGGTTTTGGAATGATTTCTTGAATGATGATATGGAGGAAGAAACACCAGTTTTGCAGGTTGACGAAGACGATATTGTAGATGTTGATGTTCTGGTTGAGCATCTGGGATTCTTGGGTTCTAGTCCCAAGTAGAATTTGCAGGTAATTAAGCTTATTTTCATTCAGTTTCTTATCTGTAACAGGCTCAATGGTGGCCTTAATTTGGACTGACAGTAATGGCAAATTACCTAGTAAAACTGTTTCAGGTTTGTTTCTTCAATCTTAGAATTTAAAACCTGTAGATTAATTTTCATGTCAATGAAACAAGTGTGGAAAAACACCAGCAAAATCCATTGGGGAAACTTGACAATACCCTTCAAATAATTATAACCTCATTAGAAATGACCATCCAGCTCAGTTGGTAGAGCACAAGTTCTTAACCTTGAGGTCGTGGGATCGAGTCCCACGGAGGGCATTTCATAAATTCGGAGGTCTCTTACGGAAGCTGCTCTCAACTGGTGTTGGAGTAGTCTACTATCTTACCTCCCCTGCTCTCAACTGGTGTTGGGGTAACCTACTATCTTACCTCCCACTTACTCCATATATATGAAAAAAAGAGACAGCCATTTTTATAAATATCGATTAAATTTAAATATAGATACTCAAACAATGTGCATCTCATCCTTTACCAGTAGTGTAAACCCTTGTTTCTGGTTATGGATTATTTAATTGCTGTATTATGTTAAGATTGGTTAAATTGTTCTTTTTTAAAACAAGTTTATATTTGATGGACATAAAGATGAATTTAGTACTTAAAGTTTACTTATTTGTCATTTTGTTTTTAGTTTTTTCTAGTAGAGTTTAACCCTTAATCTCTAAAATTAAGTCGAATCTGATTTTTAATATTTTAATTAGAGTCTAATAATTACATTTTAATAAAATTATTAATTAAAATTTTAAAACCGTTAACATAACATCTCATACGATAATTCATGTATATTTTATGCATTTTTTATTTTTTTAAATGATTAAAATTTTCTATATATATATTTTTTAATAATTTTTAATGATTAAAATAATTTCATTTTTCCTAATAGGGTAAGCCAAATTTAACTAAAAATAATGGCCAATTAACAAAAAAAATACTAACGTTGAAAACTAATTTTATTGGTATGCATATTGATATACTGAGATATTATTATGGAAAACAAGTGATATTTTTAAATAAAATTAAATGATTTCATTCTTAATGATACACGATCATTAAATTTATTAATAGTTTGTAAAGTAAGCTAGTTAGTATTGTACCGATAAACATGTTGTTTTTGTTATTGTATGGGTAAAATAATTTTCATATTATTATATTAGCACAAATGAATATAAGATTTTATGTTAAAATAAATTATTAATAAAAATATATATAAAAAAACTATATATGATAATTTGACATTTTCACGGGACAACTCTCTCCGTCTATCCATTCGATCTATCTATAATTATATATACTTGTAAATAGACATTAAATATGTACATATAAATTTTAAAATTATTAAATTAAATAACCTCATTGTATTATTATATTTTTTTTAAAGTGTAATTAGAGAAGTGTTAAAATTAATTTAAATATTATAATTTATACCAATTGGTATGAGTAAATATATATTAATACATGTCATTATTGATCAAATTAGATTAAATATATTTTTAAAAAATTCTAATTCTATTTAGAGGGAAAGTGAATGAAAGATTCTACGGAAAAAAAATGAAAGTGCTCCTAATGATTTTAAAATCTATAATCTAAGAGAATACGAGGCATAAAGACGAGCAGTGTGATTAACTGACTAAATTTATTTACTCTATACCAAACGTATTAAAATATGAAAAAATATAATTTAAATTACTTGATATTAATCTAAGACCAAAATTAGATGTACGAACCGATACAATATACAAACTCATTGTTTATCTTTATATAATATTATATTTGACCTAATCTTTATATACCATCAATGTATAGTATTATTTTATACCAAAACATTTCGTTTCACATTTCAAAGCATACATTATTAAAAAAAAATAGAATAATTCATTAAATTACAATAACATTAAAAATTGCAATTTATTTAATATAATTCATTTAAACATAATTAAATTCTCAATGAAATTCAATTGAAATATTCTTAAAATAACGGGTTAGAAAGTTTAAATTGTGATATCGGAATTTTAAAAATATTAATATTTAATAATTTTTATATTAAAAAAAAACTGAGGAGTTTGCTATTAATTTTCTTGAAAAAGTTTTGGAAAATTGGCTATAGTTTCACTCTAATACAAGTTTAATCACCATTTATAATTATATTTTTAAACACGAACGAAGTTAAAATATTAGTTTTCATTAAAAAAAATAAAATTTGAGATCAAAATTAAATATTTTGTCAATGCTCAAATTGATCCGTTGATACTTAAGGGACTAAAACTACTAATGTCTAATTTATTGGAGGGGACAAGACCAATGGGCCATTGCCTATCTTCTATTATTCTATACTCTCATAATTAATTAGTTACATGGTATGACACATTCAATTTTTTTAAGTAATGTTAAATGTTTAAATTTTAACGTCTTGAATAGAATAAATTGTCTTTATAATAATTTTTATAATACTTGATTTGAATCAATCATTCAATGAGTTGAACAACGATGATTATAAAAAGGTTTAATATAAAGACAAATGCTCAAATTATATAGTTTTTTCTCATTTAAGTGTCTAAGCTAATTTTCGGTCAATTCAGATGTCTAACGTTACAAACGTTATCATTTTAAAGGTCTCTATCAAAATGATATTCAAATATTTCGTATTTTATTCTAATTTCTATACCCACACCTCCACCGCTATTTGTCGTCGCTGTTATCGATCAAACCTCCATTCACCGATGATATAGTCATCCAACGACACAACCAACGTCATTAGTCTTTGCAAGTCAAAATTTATTTTGGGATCTACAATATTTTTACATTGTTATTGGAACTCGTCACGCCGAGGTGACAAGTTCCAATAAAAAATATTTTTTATTTGAACTCGTCACGCTGCGAGTTCGAATAAAATATAATTTTTTTATTAAAATTTATCACATCGAGGTAAAAAGTAGAATAAAATAATATTTTTATTGGAATTCGTCACCTCGACGTGATGAAATTCATGTCACTATAGGTAGGGATGGCAACTCAACCCGAACCCGACGGGTTCCGACCTGACCCGATTGGGTCAGATTTTTTTTTTAAAAAAATTGGGTTTGGGTCGGGTCGGGTTGGGTTTTTTATGCATTGTTCGGGTCGGGTTTAGGGTGGGAAAATCCGACCCGACCCGAAAAATATATATAATTTACCCTATATATTTAGGGATAATTACAATAATACCCATATATATATATAATTTTTTTCAATTAAGTTACTGTTTTTATTGAATAAAAATATTTTTTTTATTATTTCGGGTCGGGTCGGATTTCTAAGTCATATATTCGGGTCAGGTCGGGTGAAACCTTAATTTCGTCGGGTCAGGTCACGGGTGGAGGTCCCTTTCTTCTCAGGTTGGATCGGGTGGCCCAAAAACCCGACCTAACCCGACCCATTGCCATCCCTAACTGTAAGAAAGACCATATATCCCAAAATAAATTTCGACTTGCCCTAATGGGCTAAATAAAAAAAACCCATATATCTTATTGGATCAAATTTGCCTGAAATACCCACCGACACAAGCCCAAATGTGAATCTTTTGAGCTTATCTATTTTTTTCCTTTGTAATTATCCACAAAGCTTTGTCCTTCTCTCCTTAATTTGGATTTTTATCGTTTTAACCACGTGTCACTTTAAGATCGTACCATTAAAAATAGAAAAATGTAAAATTTAGAAATTAATATGAATAAAATTTTTGAGGACCAAGTTGAGAAAAACAACTAAGTTTAGGGACTAATGGTTCTTTTGTCCCTTTCAAATATATCAAAATAAGAAAATATACACTCAAGTATGAATTTCATTTCTCTATTTCGTCAAACTTAAGAAGTTAATCCTTTTTTAAATTAAAACAATAATGGATTTTTCTATGGGCCAAAGAATGTTGCACCACGTTTGAATATTAAATTATTATTTGGGGCCTAAATGAAAAAGAGAGAAGCGTCAAAGGAGACTCATAAATCACAAAAAGTCAACAAAATGAGTGGCACTCCTAATTGCTGCCCAACTCCACGTCATCAAATTTATTATTATTTCGTATTAATATAAAAGCTGATTTTGCTTAAATATGATATAAGTTCTGTACATCCACAATTCCATCATATTTTTACTTTAAATTTAGTCTCTCTGTTTGGTAAGACTTAAAAGAGTAATTTTATTTGTTAGTACCATTAAAATCATATTGTTAAATTCAAGCTCATTGCAATAAATTTAAAAATATTAATAATTGGACATACATTTTTAAATCTAATTTTTTTTAAGAGATTGAATTCCTGAAAAATAAAAGTATGAAGATTAATTTCTAAATGTGTAGGGACTTAGAGCATAGTTTAACCTATTTTCTTCAAAATATAATCAAAACAAATTTTATGAAATTCAGAGCCCCATAACTTTTATTAATTAAAAATATGAAACGCGTGTGGAGGCGAGACTTGTCATTGGACGGGGGGTTTTTTATTTCATAATAATATGAAAACTACTTCATATTTGTGTATATATTTTTTGTAATTAAAAATTTAAAATATATATAAAGAAAATATTATTTCACTGATTGCCAGGTGGGCTCTTGCCGACGAAGAAAAATGAACATTTAATTTTTTTAAGTAATTACTCATTTTAAATTAGTCCTTAAATTTTTGAACATTCTAATTTCATCCATGATCTATGACTCTCTTTCTAAATTGTTTTCCAAACTTTTGAGTGTTCCAATTTCATCCCAAAATTCATGCAAATAAGTAATTAGTTTCTACCGTAATTTAACCTAAATTTATTTTTAAGCGTATAATAATATAACGTGGCCTAACAATTTTATCAACAAGGGATGTGATTAGTATATACATATAGCTTGTGATGAAACTGTAATATCCAAAAAGTTTGGGGACCAATTAAAATGAAGGTGATAGCTTGAGGATGAAATTGAAATATTCAAAAGTTTGAAGACTAATTTAAAATGATAATTATAGTTTAAGGATGAAATTAAAATATTTAAAAATTTAGGGACCAATTTAAAATGAATATCATACTTTGAGTACATGTGATGTAATTAACTCTTTAGAAACTATAACTTTGAATTTCCCTATTAAAAGTAAAGCCTAAACACAAAAAAAAAAGAACTCAGTTGTTCTTTTTTTTTAACATAAATGTACTAAAT